GGACTCGTGCTGGCTGTAAGTCTAGCTTGATCGGCATGATTCTCTCACTAATATTTTTTTTTTCTCTCCCCCATCATATATCCTTTTTGTTGATTTCATCAGCTTTCCTGAAAACATTGTAAGGTGTGAAAAAATTTGCGACCAAAGTTTTCTCTTTTTTCTGGTACACTGTATTTACAACTAGCACGTTTTTCCATTTAAAATGCTCTTATGATAATAGTTCCGTCATACTAGCTTTGAGCATTCACGTTTTTGTTGTTAACAAAGGCTGAGACACGTTAATAAATACATCGGAACTTCAGCCGCGTCTCCCTAATGACCTGGGGCGGGGACATCACAAGATAACAGTAAAGATTGTAGTTATGTTCACGATATGCACGGGTTTGAATAGATAATTCACAGCATGTTCAAGAAAGTGTTTATGTCACAGAAGACTGAAGAAGAGGAGACTGAAGATCCTGCTACGAGAAGAAAAAAAAGAAGCAATTCCATCAAATGAATTGATGGCATTTGAATGTTTTGAGACAATAAACCAAATACGAGGCGCTCAAACTCGATGGGCTCGTTCAACATATTCATCAGAGAGCCTGGAGAATGAATGGCCAGCTGGTAGTTATCTGCAAAAGTAGCTGTCCTCAAAACAATAAGAAAAAAAAAAATCATACATGCAATGCAGGAGAATCGTGCCATTTCGTTCCTCCTGGGATAAATTATTACGACTGAGATAGATAAAAAGAACTTTAATTCTTTAAGACGAAGACATGTGTGTGGAGAGGAGAGAATAGACAGAGAGAGAGAGAGAGAGAGAGAGAGAGAGCGCGCGCGAAGGGAGAAGGGGGGAGGGGGGTGTGCGAAGTGGGACGGAAAAGAGAAAACTTCGGCGGCTGCGACAGAGGGAGGTATATAAACCCCGGGCGACACTCCGTCCGGATCAGACCCACCACTTCATCTCGGCGGAGAACACAGACGAGTGCTGAGATGTGTGTTGCTACTCACTGAGATAAATCGTGATAATTCTCAACATGAAGACGTTCGCAGTCATCCTCGCCTGCTCTCTCCTGGTGACTTGGTCATCAGCCATGGAGAGGAGGAGGCACAACAGCCCAAGCCGTTCCCAGCCGCAAGGTAGGCCTCCAGACCTGAATTCTGGATAGATAGTTTCCCATTTCACGAGTAACTTTTTAGCGCCATCCTGCAAGCGAGATTCAGGGACCTCGTAGTACCCAGTAGATGAGAGAACGATTTGGAGAGGCGCCGTACTTGCATTTTAAGAGCCAGCTCACAGTAAGATTACGGGCGAAATGCATCAGCTTGGACTCATCTAACTTTAGAAGAGTAAGCAAAATCTTATCAAGAATTTGCGTTAATGGGTTTAACTTGGTTGATCTTGTTCCGATTTGAACAATCGATCCTGTTTCAACCGACACGTCCTAAGTTCTTGAGCCAATTCGATCGATCCTCTCGGTTTTGGTTAACCGATCTGGCGCGTCTCCATTTATCCTAAGGCTGAATGGATTTCATTCAAGTACGTTCTGTACGCTTATGCTTGAGGAGGAATTACTTTTCTTTTGCGGATTGTGCTTTTGCTCCAGAAATGTTTCTGTCGGTCTTTACTGAAATGCTTCAGAGTGGGTATTTGTTATTCCTATCAGAGGAAAAAGAAAGATAAATTTCTGATCGTACCAATATTTGGCCGAGTTTAGGAAGGAAACGCTTTCTGCACGGTTAGATCGAGATCCATAGGAATGTGTCTCCTTGAAAAAACACTGCATCGTATCTCAGCGTTCTTGGAAATGGTCACCCTTTCTCCCCCCCCTTCAGGAATGTTTCAATCCCGAAGAGCCCGTTTGCTAGGGATTGGAAAAGGGATGGAAAATGAGTAGAATACTCTTTCTTGGCAGAGAAACTGTCAGACGTTGGGAATCGGCCTTCTGGCATCTTCAAGGTAAAGGCCACTACCCTGAAAATGGCTTTCATTCGAGGCCAGTATTCAGATGACGGTCACGTTTTCCGTCTGCAGTGATAATTTTTCAAAGGACTGGTAAATGTTTCCTTTATAATCACGGATTTAATCTTTATATCGTCATCAATCAGCATTTTCCCATGCCAATTGAGGCAATGTGTTTCTTTTTCTCATTGCATTCAATTACTCATGTTCGAAACCATGTGAACTCTTTTCGACATAATGGGGGATTTTCCCAAGTACCTTTCTCTAATAATTGCTGGGCATTCAAGGGATCCTTGGAATCTATACGAAGTGTTACATGCAGAAGATGGATGGGTGCGGCGCCTTTTTCGCTCGTGACTAAACTCGAGTCAAGGCTCATAGCCTCATTCAATATAGTTCGCAGAGCCACGGGCGATGAAGGGGAAAGGGAGAAAGAGGGGGGGGGGGGAGAGAAAGGCCGCGGAATTATTGATGGCTTAGCCACAATGAGGGATAGGATCTATTGTCGATCGTGAGTGATTGCGGTCGTTGACAGTCGACCTTCCTTCGAGGTCAGGAACAATGCAGGTGACAGGAACCATATAAAGAGAAGCTTATTTGAAGGCACTTTAGATGCAAAAAACCTGCAGAGGCTTCACTCTTTCTTTTGCCCGAGAGGGTGAAGCATTATCATTTTTCGGGTTCGTCCCATTGTCCCAGTTCCACGCGGGTGCTTTCCTCAACTTTCTCTTTCGCACACATACTCGCGCACGAGCATCTTTGCCAGATGGCTAAGAGACCAGGCGAAACCCATCACATTGTGCATCGAAGGGGACGAATGTGTTTCAGATACACCCTCAAATCCGAACGTACACATTTTCTGACCATCATCCAGTTCTTCCATGCGCAACCAAACAAGACTTCATGCTCGTTGCAACCATCACATGATTGATGAAGCTTGCAGATTGTTCTGTTATCCTCTAATAAAAAAAAGGTGGCGTTACAGGAAGCTGACAAGTACCTTTCCCAATGTTAGGCCTTTCCCCACTAAAGAGGCCGTGTAACAGATTCAAAAAGAAAAACAAATAGCGGTGTCTACATTGACTCCACGCTTTTATACCAAAACCAATCTGTAAAGCTCTGGCTTCCGGTCGCCTTCACAAAATAAATCCTTTCCAAGTTGACAGTACTTTCTCTTTCGCTCTTTTTTTCACCTCAATTTTCCTTGAGAAAGGAGGGGGAAAAAAAATCATTATTCTCTCTTTCTTCTCGCAGAGGCTCTGGGTGGAGGTATCCGTGTGGTTGAGGGACCCAGTCTCAGGTCTCCATACGCCGGATCATCAGGTGCATCGGCTAGGTACCAAAATTCTGGAGGTCGCTCGCAGTATGACTCCCATGTCGACCTGCCTCTTCGCGAGCAATAGTTAGTGGCTTCCTCCTCATAATGATGTCAATTGCCGTCGACTCCTCGTTAATGGGCAAAAAAAGAGAAAGAAACTTTCGTACTTTGTGAGCAGCGAAGAGGAGGACATGCCAGAGCAGGACGCTTACGCGGTCGACGAAGGGTATGAAACTGACACTCGGGCCGAAAAACCCCGTCAGCAGGAGGCGGAACCCTTCATGGATTTCTCTAAGGGTTTCCCCGAGGGCTTCGGGAAATCGATCCCCGAATTCAATTTCGATGGGCCGATGCCAGGTGAGCTAAAATATTTTTCTTTCCCCAGCACAATCCTCACTTGCCTTCTCAGACCTTGTGACGCGACGAAGGACAGACATATCCATGTAGACTCGAGTACAGTGTAGTTGACGAAAAGTTTGATTACAGGAGAGAGACGGTTGCACCGCAGAAGACGAGATGCGCCCGTCGTGGACAAAGTCCCAGTCGCTGAACCAAAACCTGATCCTTTAGACGCTCCAAAAGGCGCGCTATCCTTAAAGGGTGAAACTGGGAAAAGTCTAGCGGGGGGATTCGCAAATCGTGGTCCTCATCCTTCCAAATCTGGTCTCTCGGCTGCTCCATTGGCAGCTGGAGCCCCTAATCCACCTGCAGGAAGTAACAGGGACTCTCGAGGTCTCGCGGGAGAAGAGAAACGACGAAGGCGAAGGCCTGGGAAGAGAGGAGATAATAGCGCAAGTAATCCAAGCCAAAGCAATCCAAGCTGGTTGGGGCGAATTTTCAGTCGAGGAGACAAAGAAGAAGCCGGGCAACCAAAACAAAGGACCAAGAAGCGAGGGTCTAACAGGCCACAAGGTTCTACCCGGCAACAAGGCAATAAGCGGCAACAAAATCAAGGTGGAATTCAGGGCATGATGGTCCGCCTGTTCTCCCGATTGCCAGAAAGGCTCCAGCCCAGTTTCTTTCGAGGACAAGAATCCAGGCAACGAGGTCGAAGACCAGCAGGTCGTCCATTTGGACCCGTCGGGCCTAGTGAAAACGAAGAATTCGCCTTCGATATCGATGAAGGGAGGCAAGGTGGAGGAGGTGGATCACCATTCAGAGATGGACCACCATTCAGGGAAGGACCACCAGAAGGCGACGATTTCGGCTTCGACGGTCCCCCTCGGGATGAGACCCGAGAGAGAGACCCCTTCGACGATGACTTCGACTTCCGAGGAGAAGAAGGTGAGGGTGGATCTGAAGCCCGACCTGGAAGAGATCAAAAGGATCTTCCGTACGACATTACAACAGGGGCAGCTTTGACAGCAGGTGCAGGTTTCACCGGTGCTGGTACTGGTGGTGGAGGAGGAAGGGATGGTGGAGATAGACCAATCGTCACCGAAGTCTACACCGTCACTCATGAAGGTCCGACTACCCTGGGAACTGCCACCGGAGCAGGCGGTCTTTCAACATCCGTCGGTCCCGAAGGAGGCTATCAACAGGTTGTAAGCACATCCTTGGGCCCTGAAATCAACTACGACTACAACTACAATGGCCTGACAGGCCCAGGAGCCGCTCCAGGAGCAAAAGACGACGGACGATACGCAGATTCCGCTCCACCACACAGAGAAGGGGGCCGAGGACCTCCGCAGGAAGGCGGAAGCCCCGATTACGGTGGTGAAGGTCCCGAAGGCCCCGATCCTGATTATGGCCGCGATTCCGAAGACTATCGTGATCCTCCGGACTACGGCGGCGAAAGCTACAGGTCAGAGCCCTCAGATGACTATGACTTCGATCCATACAAGGGGATAGATGGAGGAGGCGATGATTATCGAGACGACGAGCCGCCACAGCGACAGCCAAGCCGACCACAACCTGTTTCCTTCGGGACCCGAAATGTACCAGAACGCTACAGAGGTGAACCAGAACCCTACAGAGATGAACCAGAACCCTACAGAGATGAGCCAGAACCCTACAGAGACGAGCCAGAACCCTACAGAGATGAACCAGTAAACCGACCCAGCCCTTACAGAAACGCCTACAGTGATTCTCGGCCAGAGAGGCCATTCCAAGGGAACACTGATTACAACGAAGGTTATCGAAGTGACAATCAGCCGCAGAACACACGTGGCTTGGATCCGGCATTTGAAATCGCCTCAGAATTCAAGAAGATCTTTGCAGCTGCCAGCAACATGAACGGATTTCCAGAAGATGGATTCATGACTCGTGGTAACAGAGGAACACGTAACCTTCAATCAGAACAAGAGCCTGCTGAGCCAAGAGAAGCAGAAAAGACTCGAAGGAAGCGATCAGCTTCTCCACAAAGAGGTCAATATTACGATTATGAGGATGGTTACGACAGCAGCCGAGAGCCGGGAGATTACGGAGAAACAGCTGTTTCATACTCCGTATCCACAGATGAATTGGGACCGAATCAGCACAGTGAAATTGCCGTTGGTTACTCCACAGCTGGCGAAGGAGGTGCAGGAGGCGGAGGAGGAGGAGCAGGTGGAGTGGATGGTCGTTACAATGACTTTGATTCCGAATATGGCCGACAGCCAGAAGGCCAAGAAGATGACTTTGGCGAAATCGAGTACAGCTTCGGGGGGGCAGGAGGAGCAGGAGCAGGGATAGGGGGAGGAGAAGCAGGAGGAAGAGCCCCAGATTACGAGGATGAATACAATCCCAGATACTCTGGAGAACAACAAGATCCCTTCTTCGACGATGAACGCCGTCCAGGAGGTCAAAGGGGGTTTGAGGAGGATTTCCGAGGTTCTTTTCCCGACTTCCGAGGCGGTCGAGGAGAAGGAGGTGGCCCAGGACCTGAAGCCGGGAATGACGGATTCGATCGGCAGAGGAACGAGGACGATAGCTTCAATGACAATGACCCAGAATTCAAAAACCTTTTCACTGAAAACGAAGAAGGAGCAGGTGAAGGAGAAGGGAGGGATGAGGCCAACGACTTCAACTTCAACATAAGGGACTTCGAAGGAGACGATGAAGAGGGAGGCGAAGGTGGAGGTAGGGGGGGTGGCTTCCCGAACCCATTCAGAGGCGGTAGAGGAGGTGGAGGTGGTGGAGGAGGCAGACCTGGACAGGGGCAGACCCGATCCATCGTCCGACTCTTCAACGGTATATTTGGCCGAAGGACCTCCCCCAAGGGTCAAATCAACGGTAGGGGTCGTAGCCAAGGAGGTCGAAGACGTGGAAGGAGGAGGCCGGCCCAAGGGAGACCCGAACCCAGAAGACCCAAACGAGATACCAAAGCCACTGAATTGAGGCAAGTGTATCCTGACCCAGAAGATGAGGAGGAGGAGAAGAATGGTCGACCCGAATACTCCCGAGCTCATGGACATCCACCTGTCTTTCAATCCGATTCTCAAGATTCTCCCAGAAATTCCCCGTTCTACTTTGAATCTTTCTCCTTGCCGGAGTCTCAACAGCTGCCTACTCTGTACAGGAATCAGGTCCCAGACAGAGACCCGAATCTGATCGCTGCTGACAGGCCCGTGGATAACGAATACCAGGAGGAATCAGGTCCGTCTTATTTCCCTGACTTGCCCAGGTTTGAACCGAATGACTATGTGCGTCATCCTATGCTTCATGATGAAGGCCGACACGAAGGAGAAGATGAAGAATTCGAAGTCCCGATCCCGCAACAATTCCGGGGGGGATTCCGACAGGATTCCAAAGATGAGGAATACGCAGACGAAGGGGATAACGATGGGGGCAGGGATAGAGATAGCGGTAGGAATAGGGATGAGGATAGGGATAGCGCGCCTTTTTCCTTTTCTCCCTTCCTTGACCATCCCGATGACCCTTCGTCCTCAAAAGCTAAGCACCAGTTTGACCTCTCCGACGCCCGACACCATCGCGATGATGACTTCGGACCCTTGTTGCGTTCACACAAAGAGGACAGACCCTTGAGTAGAACTTATGACGGTGAGACCACTCGATGTGATATGGACTTCACGTTCCACTACCCCCCAACTAACCACAAAGTATAACTTGGGCTGGTTGGATGGGTCGCTCTCGCTCTATCTGCACTGTTCATACGAGTTCACCCCCTCCCTTAGTGGTGCTTAGTTTTTGAAGGCTAGACTTTTTCCCTGGACCGAGAAAAAAAAGCATGCACGGGAATCGGGATGGATTCATCACTCATCGCTCGTGAACTAACCGGAATGTGCCTGCCTGAACTTATTTCCTACCTTTTCCTGAGAGTCACATCGCAGTGGGTCAGTTGTATTTGGGGTCCAACAAGGAGGGAATCGATTTGTTCTCAGACCCAACCTAGAAAGAAATTCCTGATAAACATTATTTATTTAGAAAGAGGCCACTTGGTATCGGTAACCAGACTCGTGGTCTCATAAATCACTTTCAGGAAAAGGTGGAAAATCAATTACTTGCTTGCTCCATTCTTTCGTATTGCAAGTCTCTTTTCCCCTCATTCCCCTGTAGATGCTTGATTTCCCTTTCTGGTCGCTTCGCATGAGTTTGCTTCCGGGTGTAGCTTTATCTGGGAGACAAGGATTTATATGAGCAGTGAGCCAGTTTCTGAGACAATTAAGTGAAAAGGTAGGGAGACGGAGGGAAACTTTTACTTTCCCTCTCGTACGCACGTCACACTCTATCGATGAAGGAGAGAAGGACCTCTTGGCGTGTAGTTTTCTCGAAGACCTCGACGGGACTATCACTGTGAATGGACTGGACCGAAGATAGGAACGAGGGTGCCGAAGGGAGGGCGGAAAAAATGACAAGGACAGACAGTTTTGCATTCCCGTTCGACTCCATATTCCTTTCCTCTATCATTGGCAGAACTGGACTCCAGAGCCGGCGAGGGTTCTCAGGGATTTTTTGGCGGCCCTCCTGATGGATTCCCGGATTTCCGAACCATCGGTGGATTTGGAGCTTTCCCAGGTAAATAAAACAACCCAATTCAAGTCGGTTAAATGTTTATCGAAAAGAAATACACGTTCAATACTTCCACGTGCCCGTGACAGATGGGAATTCAAGGGATGCAGGAGCAGGAGCCGGAGCAGGAGAGAAATCTTACGACGACGGCTCAGAAAACGCAGACTTTGAGTCTCCAGCTTACGATGACGATTCCTACACAGGGACACCATCCAGATATGACCCCTATGGACCTCAGGTACTCGAAGACAGAGCAACCTAAGTCGGACTCGACCGATATATGACTATTCTGACTTGACTTACGACGTGTTGACTCGGAATAGCAACACCAAGTGACTTAAACGTGTAACACATCCATTGATTTCAGGTGAGAATGCAGTAGTAGGAGAGTTCTTGTTATGGAAGCTCGGAAATCCAAGACTCGGTAAGTGCGGACAATGTGACTAAATAGCAAGTAGAACTAACAATGTCGTGACAGGGTGCACTGTACTTGGTGTTGCTATCACCAGACATGCATGACGCACCATCGACGTGAATTCAATGACAAGCAGACATGAGAGAAAAAAAAAAGAAGCTTAACGTATCCTCGGGTTTCGAGTGGCCTCTTGTAGTGAATGACTCGACAAGGCAGAGATGAAAGATCACTTTCACCGGCCACCGATGAGTAACTGCGGGTCTCGAAAAGTGACGGAGTAGCATTCCGTGCATTACTTCGAAATGTTGGAAGCTGCTTGGCATGACTCTGACACGTATTACTTACGCATGATGCCTCTTTGAAAGGCACGCATGCAGTGACCATGACCGATTATGTCTGTGATGCACAACCTTCATTCCATAAAGGACCAAATTGAGGTTTTGAGGGCCGCAGGCACTACTGAAGGACCTGCTGTATCCGTTATTTGATGAGACTTTTGGCACTAGCTTTCGGAGACCATCTTCTCCATAATCAGTTGGAAGGAGATCGTAGGTTATGCATCACTGGGTTATATTGACTTGAGGGATGAGGGATACCATTTGATGGGACCGGTCGATGATAGCAGGACCAAACCTGGACCACTTGAACCATATTGATAAAGGTAGAGTCAAGGGATCAAATAGTCCCGGTTTCGTCCGCTGTTCATCGGCCGCCACCCCGTAGAGTGACAAAGAGAAAGGGGCAAAAGACGAGAGCTCCTGACCTTGTGATTTCACAGACGGAGGTGAAAGTTGAAGCCAGCTTGTCCGTGAGAGCGCCTTCACCCCATGAAGCCCAGCGAGAGCAAGACGAGCCCGAGACGGAGACGCAACTGGAAATGAAGCCACCCCTGAGAACAGAGAGAGGGAGAAAGAAGGAAAAACTCAGACGAGGTCAAGTGATCGACGTCCCGCAGTTCAACCATCGGATGGGACGGGCCGCGACGCGGAATCGACGCCGCCGGACCGGGAGACCCGAGGACGACCTCGACAAGGATTTCCGCATGTTCTTCGACGACGACAAATTCTTCCGGGAATTCGGTGAAGAAGACGAAGGTGGAAGGGGGGCAGCGGAGGGAGAGGGGCCAGAGGGACCGGAACCGGAATCTCAAACCTACCGTCCGTTTTCAGTCCCTAGCCTCAGGAATCGTCGTGGAAGGAGGAAGCTGAGGCCTCGTATCCCTCCCCTTCCTCCGCCTCCACCCCCACTTCGTCCGAGGAGGCAATTCTATCATGGACCCGTGGAAGACTTCTCCGAAGAGGAACTAAGTCTTTTTGGCTCCCACAACGATAACCGGATCCTGGGATCTGGGAATTTCGAGATTCTCCATGGAGGGACCTTCAAGGCAGAAGAAGATTCCGTGGAACCCGGCTACCACAACGAGAAACTCTATGACAGTACCTTCAGAAAACGACCCCCACCGAAGGGGGACTTCTTCTCTAACTTCCGCGATTTCGCCGACATTCATTACAGAAGTTCCTTGTCGGAGCAGTCTGAGGTGAGGGCCAAAGCCCCAGTCACGGTCCCCGTCAAAGGACAAGCGAGTAATATCCAAGAGAAATTGGTTCGGGCTGAATCCAGAGCAGACGTCAGTGATGTCAATGTGAAGGAGACTGACTCGGACCCGATGCTCGGTGTGTTCTGAAGATTCGTCTCATTTCCAGTTGCCATTCCGAGCGAGAAGTCCGCCGAACTCTTAGCTGAGCGCATGGGGTGAATCTGCAGTAAGGACTAGTCAATAGCAAAAAATGAGTATTTTTTTGTTTTCCTCGCAATCTGCGCACTCTTTCCTGATTCTCATTGTTGATTTGAACGCTTGTTGATTGTTGATCCTGTTATTTGTTGATCATTGTGCAGTGTAAAAAAATATATTTTGCTGTGCACTTCCTTGTAAGTTATTGGAAGGCAAAGCCTGCCCTTAGAAAGAAATGGTTTGCAGTCGAGTCGTTGCAGTGATGTTGGATAATCCGTACTGGTATTGAAGACGCTTATGTCCTGCCGAGGGCGACTTCTGCAGCCGTGCAATTAGTTCTAGTGATTTCCATGTTTCCCAAACGTGGCTTCTTCAAGAAATATAAAGTCTTGATGGTACCTGGGTTTCCCTTGAGCATTTCTCACCTGGGAGTGGGCCATTCTTTCAGCAAGGGCAGGTGTTTAAACTGATCCAATTCGAAAAACTTAAAAAATTTATATATAGGGGGGAAGGAAAGTTGAAATCATGAAAGGAAATATGGCGAAATCTTGAGCAGTTGTGAGAGAAGGAAGAAGTAATGACAGAACATAGATTCTGGATTGGTTATCAATCGTAGGCAACTCTGGTTGACACAAATCCATAGGGCATATGTGTATACAGTGACTTCTTCATAAATTATTTCAACTTATATGGCACTGCATCTTGTTTGATAGGAATGATCTAACTATAGACTGAATGAAAACTCATTACATTTTGCATCACTTCGTCAGTAAAACTTCAGATTTATCTGTATCTCAACTGCAATGGATGGCCAACAATCATACTTCTCCCCACATGATAGCATGAGACAAGTTTCTATCAGTCTTTTTTAAGAGATTTGGTATAGAGTGGAAATGAAAACAAAAATTTCCAGCATTGATAACAATATATTCACAGATAGTAATACCAACTCTCATCACAGCAAAATTTTTCCATTAAAAGCACAGAGAATATGTTCATAACACAGCATTGTCATTTTCTCCATCACATCACTGACTAATCCAAAGTTTTCAAATGAGAAGTCATTCCATAACAAGCATTTGGTAAAGAGATGATGATGATTTCGAAGTGAAGAATGTGCTTTACTACAACATGCGCATCAGTGAAGAGATCATGTTTCCAATCCCATCGTAGATCAGATGAAATTGCCGTGTATCAAACATGAAAGCTGGAGTAGATAGGACTTTGTTGTTGTTGTCAATACTTACTCCATGCACTGGCTACAAAGAAAAAGAAAAGTCAGAAGATCAACATGGATTTCAGATGGCTTTCACTGCAAAACAAGGTGATGGACACCATCTGCTACATTTCCCCCATGGGGCCAGATGAGCAGAGAATGAAGGTCTTTACTGAGGGGAAAGGGGATCATAATGAATGAGGTCAAGCAGACTGAGATCTCATGTCATGCTGACCAATAGGATCTACAATTGTGAAAGTGTTTCACTCACCTGTGGATCATGTATAGCTCCCCATCCTTTCACCACTTCTATGGTGTCTCCATACGGCCACTTCCCTCCACCATCATCTGCACATAGGGGCAAGAAATTGGTTAACATGTTTCAATGACTCACACCTTCCTGAGAGGGTGCAATTTTGCAGAAACAATCCTTTTTCCTTAAACTGACATTCCCACTGATGAAGCATACCATCAGAGCATCTACTCACACTAGTATATTGTATATATACATGCACCATTGCTTCTTTTGTCTAATGATATTATAGTCTGAGGGTATTTCTCATCTTACCACTCTGATAAGGTTATACAGCAGGAATTATCAACCTTTTGAGCAATAGGGGCCACCAGTGGTCACAGGCCAGGATATGTGGGAGACATTGACAGATGGGGAAGTAAAAAAGGCAACATCAGTGCTCACACTCAGGGCACATTTAGTCATTGAAGGCAATTTCTGAAGCTAAGTTTTCCCTCTGGCAATATAAACAGCCACCACTACTTGCATAACTGGCCTATCCAAGCTATGTCAAATTCATCTCTAATTTTGCAAAAAGGAAAAAAACTGCAGAAGAGCCTGAGAGTTGCACACCACCTTGTTGTGTGGCCTGTGGGTTCAAAACCCTGGTTTATAGCAACTTGAGAAATGATTCTGACAAGGTGATAAACAAGTAAAGTACATAAGCTGCAGGCTCTGCATAGTCATAGAAGCAACAGGCAATTATAATGGCAATTATGGAAAAGACAAGCTCCTATCAAGACTGAATTTTGGTAGCGAACAGAACATGGATAATGCTAATTGGAATGATTACTGAAACTACTAACTAGGTCTGAAAAATGATTTTCAAAGCATTCGGTTTGGAAAAGTAAAATGTACCAGTACTTCATTATCAGCTCAAGAAGCCTTAGTCTAATCCAAGCCAGCTGAGCAGTGCATTGCAACACAACACAGAAAAACCTAAAAGCATGCAAAACTACAACTACACAGGAACTATTTCTGTCAGAATGAAATGTTCACTTACCCTTATCTGAACCTTGCATGGATTCAAGAAAAAAGAAAGCAATATTTAATATCTTTGAAGAAAAGAATTTTAATGCATGAAGAAAACATTCTCCAAAATTAATTATTGAGGACCACAGTATAAGAGGCAAGAAAAAAATTAAGCTAACCTTTCTTGCCAAGGGTAATCTCCACTTTCTTGATAACACGAGCTGCAAGGACAGGTGCAATGCATGTGAGAGCAATTGGCTTCTGAGCTTGGTGAAAACTTATGATGACCCTCTCTACTTCAGGTAGGACCTTGCAGTCCTTTCCTTTCACTGCAAAATCAGATCTGTCAAGAAGATGATACATGATTTTGTGTACATAAACAGTTATCCCATCTCTTAGGCCTGTAGAGAAAATCATAGAATATGCTAGTGCTTTCATCAGCTCACAGATTTTTGGCAGCTCCGAAGCCTCCTGGAAAAACAACAGCATCCAACTGATTCACATCTAATTCTGACAGGGGCTTGACATCCCCTCTTGCGATTCGAGCAGATTCTGAGAGGACGTTCCGATGTTCACCATCAACTGGAGTTCCCTGTTCAGATAAATGACTTATATAATTTCCAAAGCTATGTGAGAGTAGCAATAGTGCAACATGCTACTACATATAGCATATACAATAACTCAACCTTAGCATGATCCACGACATGCATCTGGAAGATATCGGGGGCAAAAATGATAGGAATGGCACCTGATCGAGTCAGGTGTGTAAGGACAGCAGAAGCTTCATGAACTTCGCTTCCATCATATACCCCACAGCCAGACAGGACCTGCAAAACACAAGTAGGGTGCCATATTCAGAATGCAGCCTACATCATGCGACAGTCAAGCTTCACTAGGATGGATAAAACACAAAGGGCTTACCACAGCCACTTTCTTGGGCAGTGCTGAATCAAGTCCAGACGAGAGAGCATGCAGTGAGACATGGAAGTTGCGCTCTTTTTGCACTCTGTTCAGATCAAGCCTTTGGACATGGGTCGATAGGCAAGATGGTATCCCAGTTCGAGAGACCACAGGTAGGCGAGAAAGGGCACTTCGGACAAACATTCTTAATTGTGCCTTTTCCTGTTTGATTGGAAAGCAATAAAATCATGTTAAAAGCACATTTTCATGTAAAATAGGCCTCAGATTGCTACCTGATGCACCCATATCACACCTCCAATGGTACTAATGATGATAGGCTGAAAATGCAGGGCGGTACACTCCGCCTCTTAAATGCCCATCTATACCAATGCACACTAAAATGCCTATTCTAGCCAACAGCTGGAGTTACACTACTCTATGTCTCGGGCTTTTCATCCGCACTGACTGAGATAGGTCCACTTTGGTAGGAGGTTGAAGAAGAGCTGCATCATGAAATGAGGAAACATCTCGAAGGTAGAGGCAATGGTGAGGCACGACATTACTGGTGCAGGGCGCTGACATATTTACTAATCCAATTATCCTATTGCCCTCTACAAGTCGATGGTTGGGGTAAAGTCACGTATTTTTCACTTAAGTCTGACAATCATAGGCGGCGATTAGTTGAGAAATGTGATGGGGGGGGGAGTCTCAGAGACAGTAATCCTTTGCAAGAATTCCTTAGTCATGTCCTCGTTGTCTTGCAGTACCAGTTGCAGGTGCAGTTGCAGGTGCCGTGCAAATCACGTGGTATGTCAAATCGCCGAGTTTAGAACAACTTCACGTCCCACTTTCACGTAACAAGCTGGAAGATGAGCTACTTTCCTAGACTAAGATATTCAAGTTAAATAAAACTAAGAAAGTGAACAAAAAATTCGACATGAATAGTAGTGGGCTAAGCCCCCCTTCTTCCAAAATTGTTGGGGGTGGGGGGCGAGCCTCCTATGAATCGCCGCCGAACATCCCATACATCAGTGTCAATGTCAAGTGAAAAATATTATTGGATTAATCACAGAATCACAGTTGGACGGTGTACTCACACACTTCTCACTTATTAGTGAGAAGTGTGTGGATACACATTTCCATCGTCCTTGTCCGTTATTGGATGGAAAAACAGTTCCCAGAAGTTGTTCCATATCTCCTAACTTCCCGGACTGCTTCTGCAGCTTGAAGTATAGCTTCGAAAATACGTGTATTTGGGGGACGACCTTTTTTTTTGGGTTCCAGGACCCCTTTTAAGGTCACTTTTGATCCAGCCATATCAAATATACCGTATCTAACACTGCACTAATTAAAATATTTATATAATTGAATACAACACATTATTACTGGTTCACACAGTTCCATAGAACCATAGAAACTCACCAAACAAAAAGGGAAAATGTTTGACGGTCGAGTTAGCAGGCATCCTCTAGCCCGTTAAAAATAGCCCGACTACTATCGTTCGAGTATCGTAGAAATACGAGCATAGGTTCGGTTAGAGTCGAATGGCCGCGAGGTTCCGCAACTTAGAAGGAATTCGACTCCGAATGCTATCAAATGTATCTACCGGTACAGCTATTATAATTGTTAGAGAAGGTAATTGGGCAACATACGTGATGCACACAATAAGAAAAAAATAAATTCAAGGTGAGGTAAAACTACCGATGTTCGGACAGTTAAGCTGGCCAAACTTCATTATTCGTTCGTTCTATCTCAACGGTAGCCTCATTTTTTGCTCCTGGGAGCACGACACAAGGAGGTATAAGTGCTACAAAGGTGCTGTCCTTCCTAGCATTGTGACTTCTGATATTGCCTATAATGTGATGTCCGAACTTAAACGTGGAAAAAGTTAAATTCGGACACTTTCACCTCAGTTCGGGCACCCCCGTTTTAAAGTGTCAGTGAAGCTTGAAACACTTGATTGTGATGCAAGGGAATGATAATCCGCTCTCAAAGTATTGGACCTTTTCTCAATTTTCTAGTATAGGAAGATTGTGATTGAGCGAGTGAGCGACTGACTTTCTGTGTTCTATTAATAGAAGAGATAGAAAGATCAAACTTGGTACTCGAAAAACTCTGATTATGCAGATTTCAGGTACTTTTTTTGGAGAGGCGCATCTTCTTTTTTTTGCGCTAACAAAACGGAGAGACATAGAAACATAAACTTGGGGCATCGGTGCTTATTGAAAAGCAGATTCCAGGCAAAAAAAAATTGCTTTTGGGATGCGTTGCCTGGGGGCACATTTTGGGGTGGACCTATCCAAAATATATATTTTCGTTCCTGGGAATCATGGAGACATAAGGCTGAAACCTTAATAAATAGGTACCTGCCGGTATGCAGTAATAAGGGAAAATCCTACTTCCGGGATTTATCTTCTAGGTGTACTTTGGGAGGGGAGCCATATATTTTAACATGTTTTACTACGCTGAATCGGCTGCTGGTGGATATACAGGGTGTTTCATGGGAGACTCCGGGATTTACTCATGAAATAAAATTATAAAAAAATGCTTGCCATTATTTATTCATTAGGTGTCATAAAGAGTAATAACAGGAGATTTTGTTTTCAGTAGTCGCCCCTAGATGGCTCGCCGTAAGGGTTTGAAGCTGCTGCATATTGCTTGACATATTCATTCACCCATGGAACGCTGGACGGTGCACGAACGTGTTAAGGCGGTGGAGCTTTTCATTCAGACGAAGTCAACAGTGTTGACGCAAAGGGCATTCCGTCGCGAGTTGAATCGCCGCGATGCTCAGTCCAAGCTCTTCATGACATCTAGCGGCAACTACTACAAACAAAATCTTCTGTTATTACTCTTTACGACATCTAATGAATAAATAGTGGCAAGCATTTTTTAACCATTTTATTTCATGTGTAAATCCCGGAGTCTCCCATGAAACACCCTGTAGAAACCTGAAATTTGGAACCTAGGTTTCTCTCCAGTCGCTAATTTCTGAAAATATCCTTCTCTTGTGGTAAATCCCTTGGATGCACATTTTTCATTTGGGTCATAATCGGAACTGTTTTTAAAGCAGAACGAGTAGGGAAAATTTGTTACATTCAATAGACAAGTACAGGGTCATCAGAAAAAGACGCTCCAGTTTTCATCACTTATATTTCCTTAGCTACATTGCCAACAACGTCATATGTGGTATCATTCGACACGTCAGGCTTGGGAGTTTAGTATCGTACTATGCAGTTCTAGTGCTAAGTTCGAGAAACAGGAGCAAACAAGCTAGCGTATATCACAGAGCAGCGGGTGTTTATTGTGAAATTTTTTTATTATCAAACTGGCAAAGTTAATAAAGTGCAGTATGGTTTTCGAAGTGAATTTTGACGTAGGGACACTCCAAGCACATCTGCAATAAACAGGCCAGTAAGAAAATTCGTAAATACTGGTAATGCGAAGGACAATAAGAAGGGATATCACGGTCGATTCAGATGTGGATGTTCAAGAACACAGTACTCTTCTGAACTTAATACCTGTGATTACTTTTTATTGGGACTTCTAAAGGAATCTAAAGGGTCTACAGGAATAACTCACATACGGTCGAAGAATTGAAGGCGGAAATCAGAACTGTCGTGGAAAGCATCAATCAGCAAACACTATTCGCGGTTATCGTTGACCTCGGTGAACGCCTGCAGAGGATCATGGATGCTGGAGGCTCCCACATTCAAAATGTGTTTTCGTAATTAAAAACTCCCAAACATCCTGTGTTTTGTAAGCTATAATTCCAGATTCTATGTGTATTATTTTAGAAAATACTCGTGATGAAACTAGAGCGTCTTTTTCTGATGACCTTGTATTTATCTGCATGCTTAACTCAGAAAATACCCAACCTCACGGACACATCCCCACTCCTAATTTTGGAGGTACAACTCCTAGAGGCACTTTTTTATATGTAGCAGACTAGCATTTCTTACCATCGTAAGAAATGCTGATCTGCTAGGCCTTCCACATGATATCTCGCCCAAATTAAAGCCCTGATGACCTTTTCAGCAGCCTCGGGTCGATAATATCTTTCATTCCAACCTCCTACCATGATTGCATTGCTTTAGAGGCAGGCCGCACACCTAGGTGTGCGAAGAAACATATAATGCTGTATTTTTATCTGGCAATCCCAGTGGCGTAGGCAGAAAATCGGCAAGGGGGGGAGGGGGGGGGGTTGAGGCCAGACCCTACGCTTAGTTCCACCACCCGAAATTTACCATTTTGAAGAAATCGTGGTCAGGCATCTTGGGTCTGTGGATGGACATTGGACTTTCCTCGAAGGGGGATGGCTAAAACTGGAATTCCCAAGGAAGGTTGAAATATGCCTGTCTATCACTGACCAGGAAGCCCAATTCCCGGGCCCGGCTCGGGCTTTTATCTTATCGAACCACTTGGCCCGGGCCCGAGAGAGTGTGTCTCCTCTACTCAACTTCTACCCTCCTACTAGTCCTGCGTGAGTGTGCGCGTCATGTCCTCGTGCACTCGCTGGGAAGTCCACGAAACTGAAGCTTTATTGAAACTATTCAAGGAGTACAATGTTCGATCGATATTAGATTGGGCAGCGAGAAACAACAAGCCTGCCTGAAAAACAGATACGGAACAAAGAGGAAAAATTGACAGGTCATTATTTACCTCTACCTTATTTTTTACATGAAATTAACTAAAAATAAAATTATACTGGCGAAGAGACTTCATTGTGTTTCCATGTACTGTCTTAAAAATAACATGGTCTCTTAGAACTATTCGAAAGTAACATGCTATCAAACCATTATGCAAAAATCGAAGTATCCAGTGAAACAGCCGACCTGAGAAACTGAAACGAGGTGCGAAAAGGATCTCCCATTCCCTCAGGGCGTGTTCCCGGGCCTTAAAAATGCTGTTGAGCCAGAAGGGTTAGACATCTAATGAGACAGGTAATGAAAAATGACTTTTCCCGGGAAGACCTAGCCCCGGGAATTTCTTCTAGTCGAAACAAGGCTATTTTCATATAGATCTACGCCGAACGAATGACAAGCTATTATTTATTTCAAGGTTGGATGGTTAGGATGCGGTGAAGTACACATTTAGTATAATACATATAAGCAGTGTTGGGCGGTAACGAAGTAAAAGTAACGCGTTACAGTAACTAATTACTTTTTTCAGTAACTTTTAAGGTAACGAGTTACTTTTCAGGGGAGGGTAACGGAACTNAAGAGTGAGCATGAGTATTTATCCAGTAAGTGCTGGTCATAATTCAATTTTCATGAAATCAGGGGTAACTTTCGCTTTCAGTCCATGCATCCAGCTTCTGTCGAAGTGGAGAAGCTGTAGAAAGATCAGAGTTTTTGTTCAGGAAAAGTAACTTGAAAAGTAACTTCTACTTGTAACTAGTTACTTTTGGTGAGAAGTAATTTTACTGGTAACTAATTACTTTTGGGATGAAATACTTGTAATTGTAACTAGTTACTTTTCACAAGTAACGCCCAACACTGCATATAAGTATAGTACATCCAGTGATACAGGGGCCAGTGGAATGCCGGATCTGTACCTGGGCTGGTACTCTCCTTACGGTTTCTCTTAGGACTCCCTCTGATCGCGATATCACATTGGCCCAAATCTTGGAATCGTGCAAAGTCTTCATCACTGCCGCTTGTACTTCGCTCAGTAAAGTGATCTTGTGATTGGAAGAACCATTTGTGAAAGCGGCCTCGCGAATAGTTAGTTTTTTTTTTCTTAGCAATGTTTGTTAGTGTCCGAACTTTTGGTACCTACTCCGTAACCTTAACCTACTTAAAAAGCACACAATATTCAACACGGGTATGATCTCCATTGTCTCAGTCACGGAGCTGCATGGCCGCCCAGAACCTTTAATGGTTTCATCTATCATACATCGCGGTTAAAAAAATAGCGCATGAAGTGTCGCAAAGGTTGCGTAGAAAAACGAAATCAGAATTTTTCCGTGCGTTTCACCTCGATGGAGGTATTCGAGTTTTACCATTTTACCCTATTTTAAGAATTGCGAATGACCTAGACAGATGCTGCTGTATCAAGGGTCTTGACAATGGTGCAAGCAAGGTGAATTACAAAAGTTATACCAGTTGTGAGGGTTTGTCCTTCCTTCCACCCAACAAATAAAGTGTTGCTTTGATAATATCTCCTTATGATAACGAATGAATATCTCATTAAGTGCCGGACTTGCCGGAATGAAACGGAAATGATAAAACAAACGTTCCTGGAGAGTCTTATTGGAAGATGGAGAGAGGAGACTGTTTTGGGTATGCAAGGGTGATGGGAATAAATAACGATTTTATTTCAGTTCAGTTCAACACATTTCACTGTATTCTTTCAATATCACAATAACTCAGGGGATGCAACTAAAGGGAGAACCAAAACGATGTCTTCTGATTGAGGAACTCAGTGTCAACGAAGGGTTTAATGAAGCACCTTTGCGAGCATGCTTTCCGATACAGGAGGGAGATAGGAGTTCTTGAATTTCCTCTTCCACCACTGGCCAGCCATAGCTTCGGGGCTCCCAATCTTGGTGTACTCATACTTGTACATCAGGATGCGGATGTACCTGTCAGAGAATCCATATTCAAGTTGCAGTCTGAAGTCTCACATGACCTCATGACAGAGGTGCCAAAAACTTTTTGGTCATTGATCATTTGGTCATTTTGGCCCAAAAATTAATTTTGGTCACAGCCTGTGGCTCATGGGCTACAGACCAGTTACAGTGAACCACAAAATCGAAAATTGTTTATGCTGCATAAGAGAATTGGGAGAGGAGATGCTGAGTAAAAGCTTCACGTGTCTATGCCTACTACAATTAAATGGCAAGCACTCCCCCCCCCCCTCCATCTCCCCTTGTGTGCAACACTGCCTCTTCTCAAATTTCCAGTAATAGTTTTTTTTTCCTTTGACCAAATTGCTTCATTGCCCACACAGAAGTACTCAGTGGGCTGCACTTTGCACACCCCTGCCTTAGGAAGATAGATAAAAGAAGTTTACTTTGGTTTCTCTCCTGATCCCAAGAATGGATTGTGAGCAATGAGGGTACTGACATCTTCATTGTTCTCCAACAGCTTTTTGATGAATGGGAGGAGCCAAGGATGATGCTGCCAGCTCTGTAGTAAAGTGTGAAATAGCAAATCAGTTCAACTGAAAAAAGTCCCACCTTGAATTCCCTTAATTACGCTTGGCACAAACTGAATTATGATCCTTACCCTTAGGGACAAAACAGATGTAATGGCTGGCAACTAAATTTTAAAATGAGAGTCCATCAAGCCTCTTGAGACAGAAATATTGGCACTCACAGAGAAGGTGGTGAACCAGGCAAGCCAGTCTAGTCGGTAATGATATGGAGAAATGAAGCAAGGAGTGCGTGAGATGTTCCCAGGCTTGCATTTAAACTCATAGTCCTTCCATTCTGCTTGAGGAGATTCAGGATTCTCTGATGTTGTTCCTTGCAAAATGATTTCCGTTCTCACCTTGTGTACGCTGAAAGAGAAAATCAATACAGGTTGTTCAATAAGCTCCACACAAGTTTATGCTAATATGCAGCATCCCAATTGAGAAATGGAGGTTCATGTTCAAAGAATAAAGTGGAGCATATCACCTGCCAAATGCTCCATATGTGTTGACCAGACGAAAAGGATCATATGAAGTGTTCATGATCTGCTGAGAGCTGGCAAGATTCACAACTACTGGCACACTGAGCAATAATATCAATAATGCCACCATCACTTGAATCCCAGTCCGGATCATACCTGTACAGTGACCATGAGAGGTTGTAGAGCATAGTCGAATGCAGTTCATCTCTACATTGGAACTTGCAAGATCTCACCTGGAGATGGTGGAGAGGTTTGCAGCTTCTTCACACTTCTCCTTTTCTTTTTGTTAAATAAGAAAGATAGGCACCGGTCATCAAAACAAGCAAGGCTGGGAATGATGGTCAACCAGTTCAGAAAGCTCAAGTTTCCACTCAAAATCAAAATGACCTTCACAAAAGCAAGCATAACAGGTACAGAGATGTGACACAAGGAATGCAGAATAACCATTTGCTGAAATATCTCATACCTGAAACAAAATCTGAATTATGCCATGAGCAATAAGTAGTCTTCTTGATGGAATGAGCAGGAACCAAGGAACTATTAGCTCTATTATGTGGTTCCCAAGAGTTTCCAGCTATGAAAAGAAATAAAGGGCCATGAACAGAAATGTTATTTTCCTGGGTTCCATCTTTCCAATGCAAATGGCACTTGAGAAGCATGTAATTAATCTCTGCATGTGCAACTTTCCACTATCACATCAATGTTTATAGTGGATTTACTATTTTACCCCTTCCACCAAATACAAACAAGAGCAATACTGCTGATCACCATGTGGTTTACTGAAAGCATTGCAGGTTAATAATGAAGAAAATATGTCAAAATGGAAAATTTATCTGCAGTAATCACAGGATGACTTGCAACATCTTTGCCCAGAATATACTTTCTACATGCTGCAATAGACATGAAAATGAAAATATGGAATCATGAATCCTCACTTTGTGAATGGTTTCAGGAGTCTGGTGGAGATAGTATGAAAATGGATTTGGGACAGGTTGAGTCTGTAGGAGAATTAATAAGAATTGCTGTTTTCAGGCTTCTCTTCTCCAATCTCTCAGCTGATGGTAATGATTTGACTCACCTCATAATGATAATTCATGCAAGTCAGGTCTTTCCAGCATGATGCACCTCGTATTTTAATGAGGCCAGCACCCAACATGATGCGGAAAATGAGCCATCGAAAGCTATATATGGATACATAACCAGGGGGTGTGTCCATGTTGAGATTATGAAGGGTCAGTCTGAAGGCAGCAGGCAACCAGATGGCAATGAATCCCATTTCCAAGATTTGCGATTCCCAGCCAAAACTATACCACCTTTGACCTACAAGTCAAGATATAGTGGGGAGTCAGTAATAACTGTTACAAATGGGGATCACTAAGAGAGTACACCTGGTAGTGATGTACAATTTGCAATTTCTCTGGAATTTGTCTCCTTGAAATTTCAAGCATTTGTCCCATCTCTTGACAAGTTCCTGAATATTGCCACTGAATAAAAATGTGGGATGACTGTTGACCCACCAATTTACTGCAGTTTGAACATTGTCCTTGGACTGAAAAAGATGTCTGCAAGGTGCCTCCATCATTAGTCTAAACAAATGCCAGGCACATGGGAACATATCAGGACTACATGGTGGGTGCTTGTGAATATACCAATATAAAGCAGCCAGGCATGCATTTGTCCTTATGGATAGTTTGAAATCTGGCATCATTGTGGCAAAATGACACAATCTCCTAGAAGACCCTCCACTAGCCATTCATTTGCAACGAATGGCTAGTGCCACTAAGATGTGGTGGCAGTTGCTGGTAGTATCCACCAACATGTAGGATATTGCAATTCAAATAAAGTTTGGTGCTTTCAGAATACTGAGTGGAACAAAAAAAAGCATCCTGTCTGCAGTGTTACAAAACCTACTGCAGAAAAGCTAGATGAGTACATTTTTTTAACTACACAGAAAATGCAAAAAATTGTCTCATGAAAATCTTGAAGTCTCTAGGTTGTTTAGGTAAAGAGCAACAGTCATTGAAAACTTCAATCAGAAAATTCTGTCCTTCAACATATTTAGAGGCAATAGTTTCAGCATCATTTAACAGAGGCATTCCATTAGTCACCAAAAAGCCTGCTGCTTATGGCTGCATTCTTATTGCAATGTCTTTGTGTTGTGTCATTGTGTCAAAGGAAAAGTCACTATTAAACAGTTGCACTTGAAAGAAGGGCTGAAGAGAACACAGAACAGTTTACAATTAGATGGGAAATTCTCACTAATCTCTCCCTCCCCAGTCCTTATACTCTAAACATACCATCGAATTCAGGCCTAACCTTCTCAACTGCGGCATAAAGACACTGCACCATCCAAAATACTATGACAAGGATACAGCAGAAAAAACATTCTTTATGACATCAAATTTTTTTAGCAGTACAAAAACTACATCTACCTCATGTATGGAAAAAGTTACATATTTCAACTGCACTTTGAATGACTGTCATTTTTCATCCAGACAACCTAAAAACCAACTTTCAGGAAAAATTTTTTTGCAGCGTTACCGATGTACTACAAAAAAAAAGTCAAATCTAGAATTTGCAGTCAGTTTAATAAGGCATCAAACAGAAAGCATTTTTTAAGTCACTCACTACTTTCTCCATTTTTAACCTTTGTTCCTATACTTGGTCGAGAGTTGGCATAATTTTTCTGTCAAATTGAAATGCTAGTTAAATATAAATGAACCAAAAAGTAAAGAAGCAACTAACCAATGTTCACTATTGACATGTACAGGAGCCAGATTGCAGCCAGGATCAGAGAATTTGCTGATCCAGTGAGGAACATAAAGGATGAGATGGCTAAACCAGCTGTGGAAAAGATGTCAAGCAATATATTGATGGGATGATTCATGAAGAACCAGAATCCAGAGGGAGCCATCATCATGCACTTCCAAATGTCTCCTTCACACCTGAGTCAAATAATTTGAGTACATCTCTATGATTGCTTATCCACATCCATTATATGAGAGAGTTCAAATGAAAAGGTGATAGAGGTGGCTAGAACCCATGAGACACTGGTTTATAGGGCAGCATGATACATGGAGATAGCTGTATTTTAATAATTCTCAAAACAACATATGGATATATGATGTGTGCAGTACATTCTTGTGCAAACTGCATGAAGAAAATTGCATATGAGCCCAAGGGAAATGATAATCCTATATTCATCAGGAAATGAGTGCAGCATTTGGTACTGCCTGCTTGCTACATCAGAAAGTCAATAAACCAAGTTAACAGTTTCAAATGACCCAATAGACATGGCTAGGTTCCACATCCTGGCCATGTGGAACACACTTCGGAGGCAAGTCAGATTCATTGAGTTCTGCAGTTGATCAGAAAGAATTACAAACTCTTTGTTTTCTGGAGTCCTCAACATCAGTACCATACACTCAATTCATTTTCTGATTAGTCAGGAATGGCCATTCCCATATCCCTTTGGAAACCCAAAATCTTGGTACAGAGTGCTGCTTTTCAATTGTACAACTCGAAAGCTCATATGCTGCATCATTCAGGCAACAATGCACTATAACACACAGCACACATCTGACCTATGAAACCTGTATCAAGAAGTATAAGCCTCAAACTATCTCCATAAAAAACTGCTGCCTGTTAAACCTGTGTCTGAAGAGACTGAGTGACCTTAGTTACTTTTTCAATTGAACCTCCCTCATTTCATCTCCTACATACCTCCCCCATACCTGAGTAAAATTGTGAGCACATCACAAGAATTACTTTCCCAAATGGGAATCAATGGAATTAAGAAGTACAAGAGTCATTTAAGGGATAAGCTAGAATCACTCACAAAGAAGTCTCATTTTCCATCTTCCATGACAAGGAATTTACTCACTCTCCATAGAGAAGTCTCTCCATATAGTCATGTGCAGGGAGGATCCCACCATCACCAATTAGCTGTTTATTTTGATTAAATGCCACCAGGAAGGCCACAGCTGAAAATACATAAATGGAAATATCCCCAATCTTGGATGAAGAACATGACTCAGTCTCAAGGTCTGCCTATATTCTCTGGTATCATACAATATATGAACCCGATACTGCGGATGATGATGATTCTTGTGAACCAAAATGTCCCTGACTGAAGGTTCTCAGCACCAACTCCATCAAGACCGACCATGCCATCCTTGGCAATGACTTCCTCATTCTTAGAGATAAGTGGTCTACCAGGTCGCCTTCCAGTGGGGGATTCATTGAGCACAAGACCACTAAATTCTGATGACAAATTGTCATCTCCCCCACCTCCAGTGCTTTCCCTGTCATGTGAGGCAGTCAGGCGTTGACGGACACCAGTCACTTCGTCTGCCATTCTGAATCTGTTACCATTTCATTCATCACTTGCTGTATCAAACCTGCTTCTTCAAATGAACCCAAGTCTTTTATACAACTGTGGCATCAATGCAAGTTGAGAACAAATTTACAAGTGATTATTTGTCTTTTGGAGAATACCAGGTGGCTTAATGTTATTCCTCTGCAGCATTCCTAATAACAGCATTTTCCATCTAACATAATGCTATGCTCACATGGCCATCATGAATCTCTTTCATTTTGAAGCCTCTCATTATATCTTTTTTTAAATTTGCCATGGTAGTTATTCCATCAAAACTCCTTTCAGAGTTAAAAAAAAAAGTATTCTCAGGCATTGCCTTTCCCATTTTCACTCCCTCTTCTTTTCAGGGTTCAAAAGCCTATGGGTACATATGAAATGTACATATGAAATAAGCTAGAGCCTCATTAATGCATCACAAGTATCAAAGTAGAAAAACAAACAGTAGACTTGTATCAAGTTTTAGCTTCCAACCCCCATGACCAGATGATGGGACTTGAGAAGACTTAACCAAACCCTTACAATAATATCAGTGAGTGAGCCATGTAATCCACTGCCACCAAAGGGGTGTTCCCCTTGGCTGATCGCACTCAGGGGAAAGTGAGTTTGCCCATAAGTCATTGTCACAATAGGATTGCAACTCAATTCCTGAGAATAAGTTGACTGGAGAATAACTTTCAACACGATTAGAAGAAATTATTTTCCCATTGATTTTAGTGTTGAAAGATAGAGACAGGCAGAGGCTAATATGTATCAGACTTCAGAGCCTCTAATAAGCTGGTCTCAAAAATATTCTGTAGCATTCTCCTTTCTATTACTTTCTGGAATCAAAAGCACATTTCATCTTTTAAAAAAAGGCATTTTATTGATTGCAATCAACTCATTTGTACTCATCAAAAGAAATGAAGATATTGAAGAGGGTTCAGAACAGCAGCATGGAGTTGGGCTGGCATCAAAATTGGAACAATATAGCAAAATGAAATCTAGTAGCTATGCAACAGCAACTTGGAAATGATTATTTCATCTCTGTAACCCAAAATTCTATCTTCTTACAACTGATTGAGGAATCAAGATTCATGCAGTATTGAAACATTCTTTCAGTCATGCATGTCCAAATCTTGTGGCATACAAAGGAAAACTTTGGAGTTGAGATCAACACTTCTTTCATGGAGCCTAGATCCCTCCCTCCACCAGAATTCTTAATTTTTGCATTTCAAAAGAAAATCACATTGTTCAAAGAGAAAACAATGATGAGATTGATACGAAAGAGGATTAACTCTGCCAAGAGTATGTGTTAGAAGATCTTCCTGTGATTTTGTTTGCATGGAAGACCCCAGGCACTATCAAAAAATAGAAAATTGAAATAAGGTTTTGGTCTGTGGAAGAACAAAGAATTGAGAGAAACAAATAGAAACACCTCCTCCTCAATCATAATAAATACCATCTAAAGCTAAAGCCTTCATCCATCCTTGCTCAGTCAAAGATGAGGCAAGAATTGAGCAAATACATACACTGACACCATCAAGGGAGTGAAATGTATGAAAGACCCACTGACCAAGAAAATTTTCTATAAATACCATCATGTGTAGCAACTTCATAAATAATACCAGAGAAACTGTAAGAGAACAATATAAAAAGAACTGTCTTTTGGAAAGCTATGGAATGAAAGGAATCACTAAGTAACAGAGGCACCTCACAAGGCTTTTTTTCCCTCTTTCAAAGAGTATAAACAAGAGATGCAGAGCTGCTGCTTAACAGGGCTTTCAGTTGAATGAAAGCACTGGACCCTTCCAATTAGGATTCTCTGGTAATGGTGCATGAAGAAGTCATAGTGAAACCGGGCTGAGCCGGACAGAAGGCAACTCAGAGAGAACCCCTGTGACAAGCATGAAAGCACCTATATGCAACAGAGCATCTACTCTCATCCCCTCATCAAATTTCAACACCAAGCAAAATCAGCACACAGGAAGTGTGCTCTGTAAATTCCAAGTTACAAGTGATTCCAGATGCAAATACTGGTATGTCATACAATCATCCTTCTTGCACAAGACTGAAGCAAGATAGGGGGCAATTTCTTGGAGAGATCACAGATATTGTTCAAAAGGATCTTTTGGGGCTCAGTACATTCACCAGGAATACCTATCTGCTATTTGGAGAGATTTCACATCTTCCCATGAAAGGAATAATTACAGTAGTATCTTCATCATGGAGCCAGTTTTGGAATTTTAATCCCCTAATTAAGGACTGCCAAAATGACTTCAATATTGGTGAAAACAGAGGCAAGCTTAGGGCAAGAAAATAATAAAGTTCAGGCAAAAAAGAGATGGCAGATTAAAATGCACACCAGATCTTAACTTGAAAATACAACTGCATTTCTAAATACTGCAGCTTTTTTAGGCTCCATTTGGTGCAAGTTTGATCCAAACTGTCTTTGGGGAAAGCCTGAAGGCACAGTCAATCTTCTTTCACTTTGAAAATAGTATGGTGTTAGCAATAGTGATTCCCTCTCAGTATTCATGATATTTCAATATTGCCTAATTATAGCGTAATATCAATGTTGAATGAAGCCTCTGGACTGGCAAAAGACCATTCATCATCCAAGGCAATTTTCTTTGAGAAAGATACACAAGGCTCCCACTCCTGAGGGTATCTTTTCTGTTCTCTTTTCTGATATATACCACCTGAGTCTACCATATTTAGCTTCTTTTCATCAAGTGAATATCTCACAAATACTGCACAAACTCAGGCAGGATATTGCATTCTAACTTCTGAAATTTTCAAATTTGAAGAGAGGAAAATTTTTGAATTGAGAAGCTTTCCTATTTATAAGAAAAACTCATCTGAAGACCACAAGTAGCACAGTCTTTCCTTTTTCCAGATTTTTAAACTTACCATCTAAAATGCAAGTTTCCTTCACATCACAATCTTACAATATATGGAGTTAGGATCAAACTAAACTGCTCCTGGAATAGGGAGTCCAACATTGAAACCTAAAAAGTAACAAGACTGATGATGATAGTATACTTACAGTGGTGCTCCAAGATTTTGGTCAATCTATAAAAAAAAAAGGCATCCTGTCCTATTGAACTCATCCTCAAGAATCTTCAGTTTTCAAGTGATTCATTAAACTTCACCACACTTCAGCAAATGGCATATTTTAGCAAAATACATGAGAGGAAGTGAAATCTCAACAATTATTCATTCAAGCCAGCTTTGATTTATCTTCTCAATTAAGGAACCAATCTGAATTCTTTATCACCCTGATGCTTAAATAGCTAGAGCTTCAGATTTCTGTGAGATGATTTTATAGCAATCTCAAGTACTAAATCATCTTCTCTGCCTCAGTCAAGGTTACAATAATTATGAATGCAGTTGTTCAGCATTGCAACATAATAATTCTGATAGCCCAATTATCTACCAGTTTGTATCTTCTTTTATCAAGCAAGTGCTAGATCAAATAATCTCCAAGCATGAATCATTCAAAAGTGCATACCTCACAAGACCTTGAATTCCAGAAGACTACAGGGAAAAATTAAAAGACTTCGAATCTGTTGACCCTTCTGTCTATGGCACTGGTGCACTACTTCCAAGATCATTCACAAAAGAAAAGCATTCACAAATGAACATGTTGAAGTAGCCTATACCAGCTAGGCAACTTGAAAATTCTCTTATTTAATGATCAAATAGGCAAAAATCATAATTCTTTACTGGTAACACAATTCATTGAAGTAGCTGACAACAGCAAGCCTTGGATGACATGAGACTCTCAATGATATCCAACTCCTAAATTGCTTTTGCCACCAATTCAAGGACATATACAATGTCTGACAGTCAATCCAGCATCATCACAGCAATTGATAAGTGACAATGCCTGATGGATGACATCAGTATTGCATGATTCCTTGAAGTGCAATTCCACTCATACATGTGCATTCATGACATCTATCTTATATAAGCTGGATGGTTGCACAAGGGTTATTGCAATAACCCAACTAGGTCCTCAAGAAACAGAAATAGGATTACAATTTCATGAAAAATTATTGAATGTGTCAAAGGTGAAGGAGAGGAAGGAGGGCTGGTGAAGTCGATCACAGCTGGATGGAGAGTGTGATCAATTCTCCATTGAGCTTGTCATTATCTGCGTATCACGACTGGTTGGAAGTTTCTAGCACAGGACTTGCTCTGTAGTTCTTCACCACCAAGTGCTGTAGTTCCATCAGGCCCAACAAACAGTTGCAGACCGGATGCTGAATCAAAGAAATTCATCTATGTACCAAATGCTTTAGATCACTATGCAAGAAGCAAAAAGGGAGGCAGAACTCACTCTCAGATGTATCATGAGTGCTGATTTCTAAGCCTTCAATAAGCGTATTGATCACGTCATCTGCATTGACCCGCGTTGTTCCCACCTTTCTTTCTTCGGGCAGTTTCTTCCTTTTGGCACGTTCAACTGATCCTTGGTTGCTTTGACTTGAAACTGTCTGCCCTGAACCAGTACTGGGATTTCTGCAAGCAACACATTGACATACCTTCATTATAGGCAGTTCTCCTCAAGTCTCCCATAAGTGCCAGTAGGCTTTCCTGTAGCTTGGCATGAAAAACTCTCTTCAATTTTTGAAAATTTGTGTAAAATTGTTGATAACTTCTGTTTGAAGGCTTGCATAGATGCTAATGGGAGATATTTTGAGAATGTGTGATTTATTTGCAAAGACTAGTGTTTGAGCTCTGTTTCTGTGAATTTAGGATTTTTCCTTTAGCTTGATAAATTATATTAATAAAGGTTGCAAAAAAAAGGTTACAAACTTTTGTGTCACTCTCTAGATACCATTAAATTCCTCCAGTCATTCTCTTTGAACCAAAGTTGGTTCTAAGCATGCTCATACCAAAGACATGAGCATCAGTTGATGAAATTAATATTTAATGAAAATAATGCTGATAAATATAGATGAAGTTTAGAGAATAGAGAAGGAGTTTTGAGAAGTTTTTGAGAAAGACAGGATAGAGACCTGAAATGACTCAAAGTGGGATTTGGTGTTGAAGATGTGTGCTGAGTGGAGGCACTCTCCCCTGAGCTGCTCTGACGACTGTGTTGGGAATGAGAGCCACTGGTCAAGCTCCCATAACCTGAGGCTTTACTCATCTGGCTGGTGTTGGAGGAATTGCGGGAATGACCAAGTTCAAATTCAGCTGCTTGAGGTGCAGGTGCAGTTACTGTTGGTGTAAGAGGAATGCCACTGTCTCCTGATGGATGTTGTAGAACTGGTGTTCCAACAGGTAGTGCAGGAAGCACATCCACTTCTGGGCTTCCTATGACTAGACCTTGTTTTGAAAAAAAAAAAAAAAGACAAATCAAAATTAGGGTGGAACTTAATGGACATATCATTACAATAATAAATTCAATTAAGGTGAACAAATGAATACTAATTTAGGTACTTACTACTATTTTTCATGGAATCAGATCCATACCTCAACATTTTAGCATGCAACTGTGCCTTTGCACTACCAATCAGAAGGGCAAATGAAGGGGTGAACCCCAGCAAAATTTGAAGCATACCAGTTCACCTTTCACAGTAATGAACTCATTGGCAAAAAAAAAAGCACAACCAAGGAGCAGAGCAAGCTTGATGAAATTTGATACACACTCTCACTTTAGCATACCACAAAACTGTTCAGAGTTTCACAGGTGTGGTATGAATATTCATGGAAAAAACTTGCCAAACAATCCAATTTTAACAGCAACTAATCACTGGAAACTGTTATCTAGAAAGTTTTTACTCATGTAACATGGCAGGAAAATTGATGATGCATGCATCAGCCTGATGCCTGAAACTGATCCATGTATCTCAATTAGCCTGCATTAAGGCTGTCAAACTCAAATCGGTCGGCGGGCCGTATTCCTTACCCAACTGATGCCTGCGGGCTGCACCCATAATTTTTCACCGAAATTTGCTATTTCAGTCAGTTTTTGCCGTTCCAGCTTTGGGGTACACCAAATTTAAGTTTTGCCCATCAATGGCAGCTGTCAGCAAGTACCCGTTTTTTTTTTTAATCTGTGGGCATATAAAAGTTTGTTAGAAACAAGCTCCCAGATGTGTGAACAATATTCGATTTATCTTCAAGAAAATATTTGTCATAGCTCTGGTAAGAAAAATTGAGATTTCAGTCACATGAGGCAACAGAACGCACCAACCCACATGACACTTATTACAAGTGACTTGTGACACCATCGTGCATATACCAATTTGCACGTAGCCACAACAGCAGCAGCAGCAGTGCAGTTGCAGTTGCAATTGCAATGGCAGCAGCAGCTGCATCATTTGAGATGCTTTTGTGGTTCATCTGAACACTACCACCGCCTTCGAGCAGCAGCAGTGCACGAATGCCATGCACTGCTGCTGTTCAAAGGCAGGCAAGCAAATTAAGCTGGTTGCGCCTCCGTGACTACTGTGGGTTGTCAACAATCCCTCTCCATTTGAATGGTGAACTATTCGAATATAGACAGCCCTGGCCTGGGTCAACCAAGGGATGCTATCGTCTAATTGACGATGATGAAGGTGGAGCAAGGGCGCCCTCAACTCTTTGAAGTTAGACTCGAGCGCAGAGGATGCTGAGAGTCAATCACAACAGAAATTTCAAGAACAGACGGCAGGCCAGATGAACCACCTCCGCGGGCTGAATGTTTTACACCCCTGGCCTGCATCTATCAAACACCGTAACCTCCAGAAATCTCATCATGGCACTGCCTCATAGTTAGACTCTAAACAGTGGCCCTACAGAGAGTAGTGAATTGAGGAAACAAGAGGGAAACTGGTACCTTCAACAGCGCCACCCCTTTCCCCCCATTTCTCAAGCATTTTGCAAGTTTTCTTTGCATTGCCTCATCCTACGACCTCAAAACTTGGCTTGATTTTTTATTCACATCTTTAAGAGTTTTCCTGCCATGCTTCACAAGCAAAAACCTTCTAGGTAGTCATTTCCAGCAATTATTATGACTCCATAGTCTCAATTGAAATCTGGATTGTTTAGGAAGTTTTCTTCATGAATATTCACCCAACCCACTTGAAACTCAATTCGATTTCATGGTATGCTAGTATGAGCTTGTATACCAAATTTCATCAAGATCACTCTTGATGCAAAAGCACAACCAACTCCTCAGTTGTGCATTTTTTTTGGTGATGAGCAGGTATTGACCTACAAAGCGATATATTGATTCAACACTAGGGTTCGTACAAAAGGCTTCAAGTAATGGAACCTAAACTTCTTGGGAGGTATATCATGAGCAATGTGATACACAGTCTCCATATAACATCACAAATTACTTTTAAAATTATTAAATGAGAGTTAGTCACCACTCATACAATGAACATGAATTGAACACATAACAACACTTGTTCACAAGGGTAATACAATTTGAAACCTGCTCACTTGAATCGAGAACAGAAGGTCTCTTTTTTGTCAGGCTGCCAAAGCCAGATGACCCACCAGATATGGATCCTCCAGACACGTTCTGGCTTCCATCAGTTCCTGCTGTTTCTTCACTGCTCTCCTCATCAGCAGGCTGGGCATTTACCAGGCTTCGAGGACTAGGTCTGGAAATAGTAACCATTCATGCAGCTGTAGCTTCAAATAAAATGGTAAAAAGAAAAGTGCAGCTTTAGTATAGTGAATGTTCCAGTGATCACCCTACTCATCCTCCTTTCACTACTCACTTAGTGAGCAAATGTGAACTCATTTTTCCTAAGAATGTACAACTACAAATAAGCATTAAAGGAAAAGTCCATTTTTTATATTCAATGAGAGTGAACTTGAAATAGGCTGGCATGTACTCTTTCAAGTTCCTTGGATCCACAATCCATGGGACTGAACAGTGGGTCCAACAGTGGGTCAAGGTTGAACTTATTTCCTATGCTCCCCTCTTAGCATATCTGCATTCAAGGCAGGCTTCAGTCAGGAAATACCTTGACAGTCCATGATAAATACAACCAGTAAGACAATTGTGAAGCATAGTTATCTGATTAAAATGAATGTTGTCCTTGCAAAAAAAAAATATTCCTGGTCAGGCAGTAATAAGAGTATAAGAGAGTGAAACTCTAATTCCAGCTAAATTCTAAATTGATTTCATTATCTCTCAGAAAGCTACTAAGTTCAGGGCTGTGCATTCATAATCATAAACTTTTCTTGTCCTTGTTTCCATTGACAGCAACTCTGACCAAAGGAGGAAAATACAGACCAGTGTGTCAATGTGCATCTGTGTAGTGATTTATATGCCTTAAAGAAATAATTAACGAATATCCTAAATATATGCCAACTTTGAAATTGAGTCCATTTCATGTAGCCTCAGATTCATCAGAACAGTATACCCTCACAAAGTGATCATTCATTGGTGTTGACCGTTTATTATGTTTTCAGCCTATGTATATTGCAGGGCTTCCCAATCCTGGGTCGCAATAGATATTTGGGGTCGTGAATCGGCAACTAAATGCAAAGTTACGTTTTTCTTTGCGATTTTAACGCATAGGTAGGGGAGGCTGTCTAATATCGCTCAGTACATGAATAGTACGAAAGTGATTTTTTGGGTCACGCGTGAAAAAGGTTAGGAAGCCCTGGTATATTGTAATCAGGACTGGATTGTTCTCCAGGTGCTTGTGATACCAACAGTATGAAGACAAAATATTAAGAGTGACACAAGACATATTTGGGTAACAGATTTGACACAAGGTGCCACTCTGCAAAGGTGATCTGCATTCTCCATTTGAATCCTAAGCAATGAGTTCAACAATTTAAGTTATGCTGTTTTTACTGGGTATTTTGGGGCACACCAGGTGCAAGAAGTGTAGCTTTCTTTCAGGATAATAACACACCAAATGAAAGCTTTCTTTGATTGAGCAATATTAAGGAAGGATGGAAAATATTCTCTGCTACGTTACAGTTCCGAAAATATCAATATTTCGTTTCCTGCTTTCCCTCCTTCTCAAGTGCATGATCCCACTGAGACAAGGTTTCAGTATCTGTCTGGTGTGGTTTAAACTTTTAATTTCAGCAGATCGTTGTAGTTATTGCACGAATTCATATTGCCCCGACCCTAATCATTCTGCAGGCTCACTTTTGATTCATTTTTATGCACAAACATGCAAATTTCTGTTAACCTGTCCTCTGATGAGAAGGCTATGGTGAATAGTAAAACGTTCAATACTTTTTCTAGGCTCCCCATTCCTTTCGAAAAGCCTACCTTCACTTTACTAGTTTTCAATGTCTAGCAACAGTTGCGATCATGAACCATCCGCGAAAGATGAACAAATGTAATAAAGATCAGGGCTCGAAATAGTATTTATTCATTTGGGGTAGCTGGAAATGGCATGGGAATGTGCTGCGCAAGCTGCCATTGTCTGTCACTTTCATACTTGTCCCGGCTAAGTCGATTCCACGCAACTGTTCTTTTTGACACAAATCGATATTCTCGTAAAATAATTCATGTCCTTCAAGGGGTGCAGGGGCGTCATCCTGCCCAATCCCCCCGTTTTGATTCTGACAGGATGGCTCAGGTAAAAAAACTTGTCATCCATTTTCAGCTCTGATGATATTTCTCTGTAACTGGTATGCCGATTAACCTCAATTTGAATTGACACGCAAGAGACCTTGAAAACCCTGTATCAACAGGTAAGTGCATTTATGCCTGCATGCCGCATATCGAAGCTTTAAACATCATGAGCAATATCAGAATAATAAAATTTTTGTGACTCAAACTCAACAAGTTCTGATAGATGAGCGGCTGGGGTCCATAAAAACTATTATATACTTGTAGTTGCATGTCACTAGAAACACGAATTATTTCACTCTAACAAGTCGGTGGGGGTAAGCAAGAATCTATCAGCATACGGAGCAACACAGATGGGAATATTATGACAACGTCACAGGTAAGTGGAGAGTGGCGTTTTCAGCAAGTATTTCATAAAGGCGACAATGTATTTTTACTGGGCGATGTAGCAAATCGTACTCATTGTGAGGTCTGATTCCCGGTCATGTAGACCAAGGTGCAGCACTAAACTCTCAGGATATCTTTCCTATCATACCGGGAAAAGCAGTGAAACAACCCAGTGCGGGAGTGGGGGGGGAACAGGAGATGGAGAAGGAGGCCAGAGAGCAGTAGAGGAAGAGCCTCATGTCAGCAGTTGATGGGTTGCACACATGTGCTAGTGCATATATTTGGAGATCCTATGAAGGGTGGGGGTGTATTCCACACCATGAAGGTTTCACGGACTCAGAATCCTCTCCTGGGATCCCCTCCCTTGTGAATAAATATTCCGGGGACGAGCAGATACAAGGAAGTTTCCCGTGAATCATACTGGGATGAGCCAGCCAAGATAGCTAGAATGATCTCCGAGGCAGATATATATCTCTGCGGGAACGACCAAAAATGCCACTGCATCTCCACTCACGGCTTACCTTTCTTCTTTCATTAGCTAGTATTGTACGACATTGCGATTTGCTACCACGACCACACGGAAGGAAAAGTCAAAGAATGCAGCTCTGCTTTGCCCAGACCCACACCTAATCGCGTCCTCTGGCATTCAACACACAGGCGTTTCTACGAGTTTTTGTCGTTGATGAGGAATTTCATTCTTGCATCATCAAAAGAAAAATCAAATGGGATAGCGCTTATGAATTAAAAAAAAAAGCAAGTAGAGTGAATGTGGGTCGTGGAAGCGGGGAGAAGCCGAGGGAAAAAAAAATCAATGTTTACATGCAGTGCCTAGCATACTCCCGGAAGGGCCTCAGAAGCGGGAATGCCATGTAACAGGTCTGACGGGCCACTCTGTATGCACAGTTCCGCACTCACATTCCCTCCTCCCCCTTACACCATAGGTTCACCTGCCCCCGGCTCCACGCTGTCCATCCACGTAGAGAATCGATGACAGACTTTCTTCCTCGCCCCCATGCTAATCGCCTCCATCTCGCCATAGAAGACCGCGGTGGATGGACAGACATAAGAGGGCAGTGTCATCCAATACGTGCAAGGTGGTCCACTAGCCTGTCTTCCTCATTACTTGTTCACATTGACTGTCGAGTTTGGCTATCTCTATCTCAAGATACATCAGATAAAGGGCACACAGACAGGAAGTAAGAAAGAAGGAAAGTAGGAGGAAGAAAGGGAGGGAGGATTGACCATCTTTTTCACTGCTCTCTCAGACATACCATCCCATTTTTCATCCCTGAAACCCACCCATTTTTGTATCATTACTCGAGCATCTCCTCAGCCCATCCACTTCACCGTAGTCGTTTAACCTCCTTCATTCTCTTTTCCTGACAGAATTCATTAGCATGCATGGTACGAATTTAGTGGTATAGGGTGTTACACGCTAATAATACAATAAATTCACTGATGCCATTGGGTAAGGAAGATACATGGATGAGAGATAATTAAGTTCGTCCCATGACGTGGCACCATCGCGAAACACTCCTCTCATCTGTACTCTCTCTTACATTCTTTCTTCCGATTCTTCATTGCGAAGGAATCTCCCAATTTCCGGAAATGATCGAGGGCAGCAGGAGGCAAAGTGTGAGGGACGACCATGTCCCGAAGGCGAGCTGGTCTGCATGCTAACTAGTATAGAGAGAGCAAGGCAAGAGACCTCCTTCTTCTAAGATACATCGATCCAAAAGCCCCGTTACTGCCCTTCAATCTCAACGTGTCCAGGTTGTGCAATGCCCATTCGCGAAAGCGACTGACCTTGAAATCAGTCCCGCCTTTGAAGCAGGAAGGATGAAGATACGTATGTAAGCCTAGGGGAATGCAGCCGAGCGCTCGGCATGCATGACCAAGGAGCCCATTCGTCCTCAGATCTACCGATAAAAGTAGAACCTCATCGGGAGATACCTTTTGAAACAGACGTCTCCAGAAACGAGGATCATTTTGAGGGTGAGATGAAGCGTAGAATTGTCCTGGCGGTGTCGCGAGCCTCCGTAACCTTCAAGGAGGCATCTCCGCGTCACAGGGCCAGCCCCGGCAAATTCTGCCAAGTTCAGAGTTGCGAACCCCAGCCTCACGTAGCTCCGCCCTCCTTTATCCTCCTGGAAAGAGAAGGGAATAAGAACAGGCACGATCATGATTCGCATGCTTAGAGGGTTGGGTCGGGCAAGCCATCACTCTGTTTAATGTAGTCAGGGAAACCCGACCTCGTCCTACTCTCATCAGCATTAATGGACTGACGTTCGTGAAGAAATCATGGATACGGTCGATAATTTCATTCTCTCATACTCCCCCCTCCCCCCTGACCTCTCAGAATGACATCCGCCATCTCGCTTTTCATCAAATCATGCTTTGTATTCTCACACTGTGTGCGGATGTGTAACGTGAATATATCCCTACATTCATCACAACCAGGAGAGGCGACCCGAAGGATTTCATCCAGTCCGGTAATGACTTAATGAGGGTAGCTATGACACGGCGAAACTCATTCAATAGTTTCAACCTTCCCATTATGATTCACCTTATAGAGGAGGCAGAGGTCATGAGGAGGATGAATACTTTTCTTCCAAGGCTCTAATGAGCCAAAATCCTTCGACCTGAACATGTTTGAATCTCAAGCGGAAGAGCGTGGGAAACAAGCATGTGAGATTTCCGCAATTTCCCACAAAACACGAAGGCATGAGAGGAGTGTGGAGAGGGGATGAAAAAAGGGTGAATGAAAGGAAAAGGGGGGGAGGGGGGGGGGGGAGAAAAGAGAGGCGATGAGAAAGGATCAGGCTATTCAACGTTCCAGTGACCAGGACTGCGCATTCAGCCATGCAAATGCCCATTTTGAAATCTTTCCTCCAATTACAACTTGTTTCCTCGTTCCATGCATTTCTCTCGAGAATCTTTCACATTCGTTCCTCTCCTCCTCTCTTCCCACTTAGAAAGAGCCAAGAGAATGGCTGCCAAGTCCACGGTCCAGTGGATCTATGATCTACCCATACCGGCACCGTCTCACGAATCCACAATACAAAAAAAGCTCCAGATAGCATTCCTATCTCAATGTGCGGTTCTGTTTCTCCTGAATTATCTTGGACACGCTGGCAGTTCACCCTCAACCACTCGAGCCTTTTACACAAAGACACATAATAGATTAGATTCTGAACTCGGTTTTCCATGTACAGTGGATTCCGTTTTATTGGGCCATCGGTTAATGAGGGCAGCTGGTTTATAGGGGCATTTTGTCAGGGACGGAATTGATACGGTAATAGAAGGTAAGTTCGCACAATCGGGACAGCCGTTACATTAGGGCAAATTGACTTGGAACCAAAGTGTCTCAATAAAGCGGAATCCACTGTATATATGTTCCCTGCAACAATTTTCAAGAGTAAGATACTATCTGTAGGTTTGGTATCACTTGGTAGCATTTTGCAAAATCGTTGTTTTCAGCAAGCAATAATCCCAAAATTCCAAAGCACTGGGTCGATAGTAAAAACGAAAAATTAAAGAACATCCATTTTAAAAAAAGCCACGTTAGTTCCAAATTGGAAATTTTTTCTTTAAATAGATTTGCTATGAATCAGGAAGCATACATTAATGATGAAGCTTGCATTTGGACTCCGAATCCTTAAAGAATAGTTATGAAGAATTTATTATGCAACATGAAAATTTAACCTTTATGGAGTAGAAATCCATTCGCAAAATTCACCACTTGTGAGTTTACGGATATTTGCATACAAGTGCATCTGTAACTTTCCACCCCCCGTTCCACCTTTATCAGATAACCTTAGCTGATGTAATGATGATTTATGTATACTGATTCGGCAAAAATGGAGAACACTTTCCGACCCTGATTTCCCTATTTAGGGAATGAGTCTTTTTTTTTGTATCTTTGTCACGCAGTGCGACTGCCAGGCTTTGCACACCATGATATATAGGCATGAAGCCATCGAGGACACGGAGAAAAGTGCGTTTTTTTTTTAAATACAAACCAGTGATAAATGACGTCAAGAAAAAAGGGCCGTTTGTAAGAGCCAAAAGGCTCAGGGATTGAACAAAGATCCTCGGCGACAGGGAAGAGATGGAAAGGAAAGGAATGGAGAGGGGAAAGACAGTCATATGTCTTGCAACACTGAATCCAGGGAATACGACATACCATGATCACTTTTTTTGGCCAAGCCATTCCCAAGAACAGGAATGCCATGCATTTCCCATACGCGAACGATAAGGCCGAGATCGTTATTACTTCAGAGAAGAGACTGTATGTACCATAAAATTACATCTACATGCACGCCATTATTGGACTGGTTTTAGGATGTAACCACTCATCTCGTCTTCCTCCTTCTCCCCCATTACAGGGAACAGCGACTTGAACGTGGGGGTTAGATGCAATTTTGGCAAATAATTGAGAAAATCAGGGGAACTGACCTTGCGGATCGAGATTTTGAGGTGGCAAGGGTCAAGGACGCCTGTAGACGCATTGGCGCTCATCTTACAAGGGAACGTAAAATGAGCACTCCATCTCACGGTGTGATCCCTCACTTCCTCCCTGTAATGACATACAGAAAGGTTAACTCCCACTCTTCCATTAATCCGATAAAACATCAATTAAGCACGACTAAATATCAATAACGTTCAAATGAGCGAAAAGGCAATGCGTATGGAGATGGGAGAAAGCCCAAATGAGAAGAGATAGACCGGAGCGATTCAGAGCGAGACTGCAAGAGACCTTCCACCAATTTGCTTGTGCTAGAACTCGATGAAAGCCTCTGCCAGAGGAGGAACATCTGGCGGTGCTACCAAACCTAATGGAGAGAGGAGGCCCAAACCAATCAGGGTGAAACGAGGACACCGAGAGTGAGATCCATCGTTGTCCCACTCCCACTCCCACTGGGTTTCTTTATGGAATTCGTCGCGCTGGAGGATCCGCTAACAAGTCGTGTGTTTCCCCCTCCCACAACCGCCAACATTAATTTCCATCTCATGACACTCCTGCCCATCTGACGCCATTCCGTTTCGCCAGACGTGAAATTACGGCGCTTTTCCTTTAGTTCACCTGAAATAAGGAGAGACTCTCTTATGGAGTCGTCAGGTTCAAGGACCTCGCAAGAACCCTTCTTGGCTTTTAATAACATCATCTCCCCCTCCATTTGCTTCGTTATAGGGCATCTGTGGGTACGAGATGTTATTCCCGGGAAGGAATAATACGGAAGGTAATTTGATAAACTCTGCATGCGACTCTACCTGGGAGGTAAAGAACGCATAAGGATTGCAGCGGGGCTCCATACCGACTCAAGTTTCAAGTGCCAGTACACCCATCAAGGGTAAACTCAATAGCACGTGCCCATGGAGATTTTATGGCGGAAAAAAGTTTAGATTTTCTTCGCTTTGCTATACCTGAGTGAACATCTCGTTCTTTCTTTTTTGTAACCTGCAAAGTCAAAAGAAGGCAAATGCACAGGAGAAATTTTACAGGAGACGCCAAATCTAAAAAATAGTCAGGTTGGATTTTTCATTTTTCGATTTTTTAGTAACTTGGATCCTTATTAATTTTTCCCATAAAATTAAAAGTCAGATACTCAAACAACTCAAGTTTCAGAAATATAGCATTATCAAATACTGAGTTAAACGCCATGTCTTGCTAAAAGTACCACTTATCTTAAACCGTTATGCATACATATTTATTCGTGAATCTTTTCAGTCTGATCGGGAGGAATGACTTCCTGATTATCACTTCTCAAAGACTCCATCCTAACTGTAAAAACGCTGAGCACAGGGAAAGTCAATAACATGAATTTTACAAGCTCACTGACCTGGGAAGTCGATGCAGGTCCCAAAAGAAAGGAAATGTCAGAGCGGCTTCGACATAGGACCGTAAAAGGTTAAAGGCTATCGAAGACATCGCCAAGTTTTTTAATTCAATCATATAAATTTACTTCTTCGTAAAACTCTGTAGAACATGAACGAGACAACAACTTAAATCGTCAATTCGGACTTAGTCCTCATTTTAATTATCCAGATCCCATTTGGGACTAGCGCAATGGCAGCAGTTTCATCTACATTTTGCCTTCCAGCACGTCATGTGCGATGAAGGCGAATAAGGTCATTGCCAAGAATGGAATTCAGCCATTAAGGAAAAAAAAGTAAGAGGCATAGAGACGCGTACGTTCACTTTCTTGGAGGTCAAACACGTTCTAGATTGCGGGCATGGTTCTGGGAAAACTGTTCGCCCCAAGCGAAGAAAAAGGTGGAGTTATCAAGGTCTGCGTCCCTCTCCCTGATCGACTTGTCCTCATATTCCGGAGCTCGGTAAAGCGAAATGAGCGGACTAGGACAATGGAACTATCCTCTCATGGTACCACCCTCTATCTTCCCTCTCATCTGAGACGGCTATATAGGTCGTCTTCCAAAGAGAAAAGTAAATTCCATCGTGAGCATCTGCAGGGTCGTGAAAGGTGGTTAGCGGAGGCAGTTCATGCATTTTTTTAAGAAAAAAAAAGGCACAAGGAAATGAATCGAGGAAAGCTAGCTTACAAAAATATATCTATCATACCGAGACTTTCCTGGTTTCGCATCAGTGCAACCCGCACGAGCAAGCATGGATTATTACATCATGTTCGGCAGGGTATCGGAGTGCATCTGCGGATGCAACGACGCACAGACTTATCCAAGTTTTTTTGTGAGAGCGTGTAATATAGGGCTCTAGTGCGCTTAGCGATAGAAGAAAAGGAAAGCCGGCACGATGCCAGATATTACGCAGGTTGGGCTTTTCCCACACCACGTGGAATTAAAGGTCAGGATCCGAGCAACCAGGAGGAACGCAGTATAGCAACTGGTATCATTGTCACTCCCCTCTTCCTGTAATTTCGCGAATCATCCAGACTATGTTATAGGATACGAAGGGGCCTTGGTTGGGACGGAGCGAGAAAGTTCAGTCACTGAACCATGCTGCAAGCCGTCAAGTCAACGCCGAGTGATCAATGAGAGGGAAAGTAAAGTATGGCAGTAATTCCCTCTCGGTCCATATGCAATCCCTTTCTCCTGCCTCAATTCACTTCGAGATCCAGTCTCGATTCTTCACCCCTTGGAAACGGACGCTGCCTTACAAATTACCGACGAACATAAAGTTATGCATGTAGAGAATCGAAAATATAATGAAGGCCTTTCAACAGAGCCCTTTCCAACGAGTGCTTTTTCATATAGTCAAGGCCCGTTGCTTTCGGAACTCCAGTCGAGATGGCAACAGGTAAAAGTGTATCACTCCCCTTATCTTGCTTTTCCGCAGGCTATCAAGGAAAGCGGGGGAAACCGACACGGGGCGATTTTTCCGTCCCCATTAAAACCACAAACTCTCATCTTGTCTTCGCATCAGTGCTAACTTCGAAAACAAACTGAAGCACATAAAAATACAAGTATGACGCCTAAAGGCATGATTCACGCTCGGGGTGAACGTTGAGGTGCAGCATCACTAATCACGTATCTTGACATGCTTGCGATCGGCGCTTATCTCTGAGACGCACGAAAGCTTACGTACGCCTTATGCTGCGTTTCAGACCGAGCGATAGGCTATAGCTTTTGAGCCTCGTGTGTCACAGCATATTTTTATCTCCTTATTCGTCATTTACCTTCCCACGCATAAGGGTATTGAACAGCAATAGAAAAAGGAGCAATATGGTAGAGCCATATCTAACACCTGCAGGATCCTTGAAAAATCGTAACACGAGGAAAAAAAGATAAATTGGTCGTGCATTAGTGAAAGAGGTCGTCATGCTTCACGTGGTCAACATCAGGCCACATGGTGTGAGACAGGAGGAAACGCAAACTCACCTGGAGGACAATTCAGTGAAGCTTCCACCATCAACCAAGCGCACCTTGGCAAAGAAAACGGCATTAACAACGGGAACCGATGTAAGTTCTTCCACATCGAGTTCGGCCTGAAACTTGAATTTCTTCTTGGAGCAGAAAAACGACATGGCAGCTTGAGATTGCACCAGAATGATGCTGCGTGGATACAACCAGGATGATGTGCCAGCACTCACACGATCGGGACACCAAGGCGGAAAAGGACGCTTCTTCCAAGCCCGACAGATTCAAAGGAGTTCTAGACGGATGAGAAGTTGGGACAGTGAGGCGGTTGGTTCCCGCATGGCACGGGCTAGCGATACGAGAAAGGTGCCAAACGGACTGGCCACTGCAACGACTACACGCAGACTAAGCCAGCACCACAGCAACACTCTTCTAAAGATCTCCCCTCCTCACTGGCACCGCGCACAGGACGAGCGCACTATCAAGAGCCTCCTTCATTCTCACTTCCACAACTCTCTCCCTGCACTCTCCACATACCTGTAGCAACTGAAAAGCACAGAGCCTTTCAGAACACGAGATATGGATACATGATCTGAACAAATAACATACAAGGGGAAACCTGGTCACGAGTCTCCCTGGATTCAGTGACTTCCTTTAAGCCTAGCATGACGTTTAGGTATGGCGCAGAAGAGATTGGTTAACCGTATTTGGGGGGGGGATATCAGTCCTGTCCAGACGTCATCTTAAAGGTGAAATACCCTCCAGTGCAGGGCAAGAAGCAGGATGTAGAGGTACAGGTACACAAAATGAGGAGAAAGTAAGAACCAGTCATGAAGGATTGGGAAGACTAGGACGTCAATACTGTCATGTCAAAAAAGAAGGCCTAATAAAACTGATGGCGCAATTCCCTCCCTAAACCCTTTGTCCACTTTCCCAGGCACATAAATCATCTGCAAGAAGCTATAATTGACAGGAATATTCTATTTTACTACACTCTTTCCCAGATTGATTACTATTTTCGTATGTCACAAGCACTTCCAATTTAGCAACAAAATGATCTTCCCCGAAGTGAGCCCACTAGGATTTGAAAGTCTCTTTAACCCTTTCAGACCTGAATTAAGGCTACTATGGGAATAATATAATTTTTTGCATTTTTGAGCTCTTTTGATATTCTAATTAAAACTTTTTTGTTTTATATAGTTTTTATATTTAGAATAAATTTATCACACCATACCATATGTTATATATAATTCATGTAATTACATAACTGAAGATTACAAAACTGATGGGTGAGAGAAGGCCTCCAATAAAACTGAACTATGCGTAATTATGCCCATTATAGTGTAATATGGGGCGCAAAGTCACAAGAATCCCAAGAAATTACCATAGGCACAATGGAAATGCAATGTCCATTGGAATGGATGCTGGGTCTGAAAGGGTTAATATATATTCATTGCCACATTGGTTACCCAGTGAGGAATGCAGAGTACTTCAGTGATGTCATACATTGTTATTCGTCTCAACAAGTCACCCCCTCCTAAGACAAACACTACATTAAAAACACAGTGAAATGCATAGATGTATCTATGGATCTGGATGGTGTCGGGTGCCTGGGATGACTGGGGGTTTGGGAAAGGGAGATTTCAAGGCATTACCAAACAACAGGCCCACCCACCCAGAGGTTTCCAGGGGCCCGGGGCAAAACTAAACCAGAGACCTCCTTGGGGGCCCCTTGAGGCCCTTTGGAAGCTCCCCTTGGAACCCCTTGATACATGGGGCCCAGGGCAGATTGCCCAAATTGCCCCCCCCCCCCCCCCCCTCTGGGCCAAACACCACCAATTTAGCAGAGAACCACCTAAGATGGAAATTTAATCAGGTGAGAATGGTAGTTCTCATCACCAGAAAATTTCAGTTGTTAGATAGTTTGCACTAGCAGGGTAACCCAAAAACCCAATAATGGCAACATACAAAAATTGCAAATATGTAGTTTAATTTTAGATGCAAAGAAAGACATGGGACATTTTTGGCACCCTGAACTTCTCATATCTCTGCTTTAAAAAAAAAAAAAAGAGAAAAAGGATAACATTTATTTTACAGGTAATTCAAATGGATCTTAGGAATCTATGACAACATAAAATACAATCTCTCTGAGATCAATAGATCAGTAATGCACAAAGGATGAGGAAGCCAGGGGTAAAGTCTGCTGTCATGCTGCCTCACATCAATAAGTGTTTCTGGCAACTTGCACATAACAAGTCAGCAGCACATTTGATTCCACTACATGCATTCTGTGCCTATGCTTCATGATGGGTTTCACAAAAATGATAGCAAAAAAGCATTAAACAAACTTTATGCCTTTCCTCCAACTTGGATACATTGAAGCAAAATGCTACACTATAGCACCTCAAAGAAAATGTCCAATTTCACAGATGGTAAAATAGAAGCGTTAATTTCCAATAGAACTTGTGAAAACTAATCAAGCCCTATAGTCAGAGCCAAGCATTTATAAAAACTTCACAAGCATATTCACCTCAACACTTTTTTTGAAACTGATAGCCCAATGCAAAGGAATTCAGTCCTGCATACCAAAATGAAACATTTCCAAGTATGCAAGTCAAAAGTCTCAATGCTACAGTCACTACTTCTAAAAGAAAAATGTATAATTTCACAGTGAGGATCTCAATTGAAAGACATCTCATCACAATGACACTTGCAGCATTCAGGTACATTCCAATGAATCCCAGATCACAGAGGACAAAAGAAAGGAAGACAGAGCAATGCACAAAATAAAATGTTTTGCTCTCCATATGTGGAATTCAAGGACCTGGACCAGTATCAGGCTTCCTCTCAAACCTGAACCTGGCACACCTATGCTAGAAGTGAGCTAACTTGGTTTGGAAAGAGCACTCCTGGCTCTTGTAGATTCTTTCAGGTGCAAATGACATCTTTTCTCTGCAAAAACTCTCAGCTTCACTGCACTTTGTTACTGCTGGCAATGTTGATTCTTGAAAGGTTATCAATCTTCTTGAGGGCATACCAGAAGAGACAGTGTCATCACCAGTGATGATTACCTACCTCTGGATCCATACCAAGATTTGAAGATGTCCATAAACTCAAAGCAAATCAGGGATTGTCTTCCAATAACTTAAGGTAAGCTTTGATTGAGCAGAAGGTTTGAAGAGTGTGATCAGCAGGGCTATTAATTTTGTGACTGGCAGGAAACTGAAAACTATGTAATTCTTGGCTAAAGAAGTGAAATAGTGTAAAAAGACCTTACTACATGTAAAGAGGCATTCAATTTGATTCTGCACTAGATGTAACAGAAGCATGAACTTGAGGCCGATATTCATCAGCATAATGCCTTTTCCTCATTTCTGCAAACTCCCTTTTTTGCTTTGGGTCTTTATCTTCCACTCTTGGAGAATCAGCAAATCTCACTGCTCTTGGGGGGGATGGCTGAGTACTGGCACCACTAACACCAGAACTGGCAGGTTTCTGAGGTGCAGAGGCTGCCTCTGTCTTTGTATCACTACCAGCTCCACTGAGAGATGGTATACAACTCCAGCCACAGCCCATTTTGGCATGGAATTATCCTTTGATGGCAGATGGAAATTCTCAAGTGCTGATTTATCATACCAAACTTTCAACTGTCAACAGATGACTATGAGTCATTACCAATTCCTCAATGATTTAGCAAATTAAGTTGTAGCCTACTATGTGTTAATAGGCTTAGGCAATATTAGATTAGGCCTGGTCTATGAGTGATTCCAACATCATGCGCTACATGAATGGACACATGAACCAATTAAGAGTAAATTTCCTTCATTTTTATGATTCAAAATGAATGCAATCAGAGTCCCATGAACCAAACTATAAAACAATATCAGTAATGCCTTGGTATCACTTTTGCTTTGTAGCCGCATTGTATATTCTTGAACTGAGTTCTCCACTCATATGTAGAGCGATACTGGAAGCCCAAAGTTGGTCAGTGAGTTTGAACTTACTTAACTTTGAACTTCAAAAATTTCTTTAGAGAAATCACAGAGGCTAACAGAGAGGCAAGGGGAAATAAAAGCATAAATGGAAATTTATATCCCATGAAAAAGCCAAGTTTCCAAAAAAATTGAAACTTTTTCAATCTATGACACAAAGGGGTTTTACGGCATATATTAGCCAAAGGGAGGATGAGACTGGGTCCTGAGTAGCTATAAGCCCTTCAATAGTTGAACATCGAGGAGCACTTCAAGAAACATGATTTCCTCTGCAATGCCGACAAATCACAAAAAGAAAACTTGCTAAGAAAGGAGCTTAATGAGGAGAAGCAATACAATGTAATGAGGAAGACTAATCTATACAGGCACAATATGGCAATAATATAAATACAGTCTGGCATCAAGAAGACATTGAAGATAGGGATGATGAACCACTTGTTTTTAAAAAGAGCAATTAAAGTCAACCCTTGATATAATGCCATTGTTAGTCATGGCCAATCTTCATGATGTAACAAGGGTAGCAATATCTCAAATTAACCACATCACCTATCAAGCTTATGAGGAGATTTGTCCAAAGGAAGAGGTTGGCATTATACTAAGTGGCAATATAATAAGGTTGACAATACTATGAATATGCAGATCAGTTGCAGTTCATATGAAATCATCAAAATTGAGATCAGCCTAAAGACTAGCTTGAAACAGAGCAAGATCAAAATGTATCCAGGTTAGTTTACAAAAATTCAGGCTTAGCAGAAGTAGTTTCTCTTCATGGTTAATAATAGAGATGATAGCCAATAGGCAGAGAACCTTTATACTTTTTTTTTAGGAGGTTAATGCCCTTCACAAGATGATATAAAAATGAAATTTTGCTCCATCTGACTACCAGAAACATTGGTGGTTTATAGCCAGACATAAAAGAAGATGGGGAAAAAAAGTGAATAACAAGCCATTAAACATTTGACTGAGTGGTAATCAGCAGAGATGCCAATGAAAGTACTGACAGCACTACCAAAGTAAAAAATCTCCTTTATTTAGAGCACTGTAGTATATAACATAGAATATTTCTGGTCACCTGAAGAATTAAAGCAACTGTACATATATAAAGAATAAATATTTAGGGTCATTTAGGTCAGGGCCATATTTAAGGTCACTTACACTGAGTTTCCAGGCATCACACCTTTGAATGCACTCCAGTGGATATCAGCTCTTTATTCAGTGACCTATTAAAACTTCATTGGATCAGATTCACCAGCTACTAATGACCCAAGTTGGATATATGGGAGAAGGTCAATCAATGGAGATCAATGGAAAAGCAACACCTAATATATTTTTCTCTATGGTTAAAAAATCTCTTTTCTCACCACCTAGCATTATTATAGGAAATTTCTTTGCTCATGGAAACCTCAATTATGACTGCTACAGTATAGGTAATGGAGGGAGCAAGACCTATAAAGAAAAAACCAGAGGAGTCAGAGGCTTATTTAGAATAATAAGTGAGGCCCTTTCAAAATAGAGTATAGAAATACATTTTACTAAACTGCAGCAGCAAAATGAGTTCATGAATTTTGCAAGGCTCAAAGAATCACAAAAATTAAATTGCTCACAAAACGTTTTTACGAGATTTGATGCAATGTTGTGCTGGGCTCAGTATACAGAACTGTTCTCTTTCTTTGAACTCTTTTGAAGAATGCTTTTTTTTTTTTTAAGTCAATCAACATTCAGCAATCATTAAAAAGTTTATAAAAAAGATAAGCAATAAAAAAAAGCTAGTTTATCCATCACAAAACAACAAATCCAATTAAAATTGGCTTGAAAAATAGGAAAGAAAAAATTTAGAAATGAGATTGCAGGCAACTTATGTGACAGTTCTGTCACACCCCCAGTGGAGCAAGGGAAAGAGAGCAAGATGTCACAGTCCAAAGTCAGGGGTAATGGCCTATATATAGAAGATGGTCCATATCACAAGATCTTATAAAAGGCAAATTACAACACTGCACACAAAATCAAATTGGCATGAAGTTCTTTTGTTGTACTGTATTCTGCATTACATGCTTAGAAAATGCATAGGGTATGTAATAAGACAACCATTCATCTATCTATCAATCTACTTCAGTTTTTTTTTTTTACTTGGCTCAAACACTTGCAAAAGTATCTAAGTCACGTGAAAAAAAAGTCAGACAAGCGAAAAACACAGTATCTCCATTTGGCGAAATTCCCGTTGAGCACAATTGGACTCAGTAAATAGAAACAGAATTGCAGTAAATTACTGCTAATTCTATCGTAGGCCTACAGGGATATAGTACTACCTTCATGGGAGCATACATTTTCAAACTGACTGTGTCCATTCAACACTTTCATTTTGGCCTTAGCTCGAGTTCTTACCGTCAGGCTCAAAGAGCTTCCGCAGGCCTGGGCTGTTCCTAGACGGACTACAGGATAGGGAAGATACGAACCATCTCATGGAGAGTGAAATTCTGGTTTAGATAATGATATAGATTAGGCCTATGATCTATTCCATCAATCGAGAGAGAACTATCGCATCATTCTGAGTCAGGTCCCGCTCCCAGGCTTGGGTTGTGTGGACTGATCTGATCACGGGCTGGTTTCAGAAAACTCCCACATTAAAGGCGCTGCCAGCTGTGCATGAAAGCAATATGGCTGCTCTGTACCGTACATGGATGATCAGTCTGGGTATCACCAGGCTTAACGTTAAGTAGCGTTTTTCAACGCAGACCTTTTTTAAATCACATTATCTTTAGTAGGGTAAGCACCCCGGTTTCTGGCCTGTCTCCAGTTGTTGGCCAGTGAGGCTTAAATCCAGCATAATTAGTTAATTGGCCGTTTTCAAGCATTCAATCAACATCTTATAATACGAGACCTATTACCAGTGTTTCCCGGTGTGCGCACAGGGTGTCCACTTCCTATGGGAGTCGTATCGGCGTGGCCAAAAACTGGGGTGTTTACCCTATTACTATCTCATCTGGATCATAGCTACGCAGAATAATTGAATAATCAGAACAATGCGCTTTAAGCACGAATGGGTCTTGTATAGGTTTAGGCCGCGGTCTAAATGCTATTTCCTAAGTTACGTCTGGATCATGACTGACTTTACTTTCAATTCGTGTTTGTTTAGTCATTTATATTATGATCCTGTGGACATTCAGAACATATTGCCCATTGGGTTAATATTGATCAAGATAAAGGTGCTACTAAAGTTAAGCCAATTTAAGTAGGGATTGATTAGGGAACTCCAGACACTTGGGCTTCTTTCCAAGCTTCATTAACTTGCTGGACACACAAGTCACACCATAGTGGCCATGAGGACATTGGACTGGCATCACAGACTACTAATTTTTATGAAATGGGAGACCTGGAAATTATTTCCCCAACTTCTACGAGGGGCATTTCATAAATTCTGCACAGAATTTTTTTTCTCTTTTATTGATAATTAATCCAACAGACTATATCTATAGGCCTTCTACATATTCTCCTTCCTTAGCAATGCAGGACTCCCAATGGTGTGGAAGGCTGTGAATATTAGATAAGGCGCCATCTTTGTTAAGTTGACGAATGCGTCGGGTAACGGCACGAGAAAGTTCTTTCAAATCTGCAAAACGCACACCACGCATCTCTTCTTTGAGTTTTGGGAACAGGTCATAGTCTGGAGGACTCATATCAGGACTGTAAGGGGGGTGAGGAAGAATTTCTCAACAGTACTTGGCCAATAAATCAGTCACTACCTTACAAACGTGTGGCCTGGCATTGTCATGGAGGATGAGAACCCCTTGTTGGTGGAGTTCCGGGCGATTCTGGTGCATTTTTCTTCGAAGTTTCTGCAGGAATTGGCTGTAATATGCTCGTGTAACACTAGATTAGAACGAGTGAATTTCTGTGGGAGTTTTATTGCGCAAAGTTTCAATTTTAATGTAAGATCGCTGATCGTTCCGTGTCACCGTACCTGAAAACTCTGCACTGGCCATTTTGAAAGTTTACTGTTTCTAAACAGCAGCACTTAGAGCAACAAGATTCGGCGTGAAAGTACTCATAGGCTCAAACTATAACTGGGACAAAAATGGCGGTCATAACATTATCCAGTATTCAGTGTTGCCAACCTGTGCAGAATTTATGAAATGTCCCTCGTATCATCATGTGGTAGAGAGATTTACTTGAGATTCATTGTAATCAATAAAGATATTGAAGAATTCCTCCATCAGAGATACTTCTAACACTATCTTGGTAGAAATTAAAATATTGCACAATATTACTGCATCAGCATCCAATAGGTGATCCTTCATTCTCTGAGGCCAACTCATTGGATGATAAATAAAACAGTTTCAACTGTTCCACAAGCATGATATAGATGCCACAACTACTACATGTGTAAGAGATAGAAACTTCACAGCAGTACATCATCTCTGAAGAAGTTAAGGAAATTCACTCACACGGACATGGACAAGGGCAGGCTTTTGAACATCTTCAAGTGGGAGATGAACAAAAACTCCAAGACGAGCCACATTTTTGACAACTGCTGGTATCACAGTCTCTGGAGTTAACTCCTCCAATGTCTTGGGGAGATATTCTGCCTCCAAAAGGGAGGGCTTTAGTGATAACACTAGATGCTTTCCCTTCTGAAATACAAATGCTTCTGGAATTTCATGGCCCTGCTTATAATATGAAAACCATGCAGTGGTGAGGTTCAGAAAATCAGAAAGATGAGACTTTGGAATAAAGCCAATCAATCCTGGGTTCTCAGATATGGAAACCTGTAAATAAATGTAGAATTCCAAAAGTTACCTATCAAAGACAAGGCAATTCCTCAGGAAAATTATAAAATTTCTCACAACAAGTTTTTTTTCCATCATATTGGTCACAGTGCAGCTGACTCTGTCCCCTACATGTAGCTTTTCAAGAGCATCAGCTTTGTTTTTCCTCAGAATGGGTGACAGGGAAGGCAGCATACTCAATGTGAGTTTCTGTGCTTGTGGATTCACTTCAATGACAAGGCACTGGATCACCTGACCCACATGAAAGGCTCCCTTCATAGAGTCATTTTTGTGAAGCTGTATCTTGCCCTTTGGAAGAAATCCCTGTAATAAAAAAAAAATCCATAAGTCAGACAATTTAGTAAGACATGGCAAGAACACTCCATCTTTTGCTTAACCCCTTAACTGGGGATGATGTCTACAGGTGTCATTGACTTGGGAATCCCCTTACAAAACCTCCACTCGTATTCACCTGGCTGAACAACAAGGTGGATAGGAAGTGGGGTTTGCCATAAAGATCCTCATCACGAATATGACTCAGATGATTAATACAATGGTCGCTCGGAAAGTAATGCACAATAATTTTTTAAACGAAAAGTATGCATGCTAGGTCTGATTTAAGATTTTCTGCGTAAATAATGAACTTTCCCGCCAAAAATTCGCAAGTTTGACAAATATCTGCTGGGAGACACAAGCAGGAGACACATTCAAAATGGCTGCCACACTTCAGGTGGGTGAAAAGCAGAGAGCAGTAATTGAATTCCTCAGTTGGGAGGGTGTAAATCCTGCAGATATCCACTGCCACTGAAAAGTTTCTTATGGTGACGCCTGCATTGATGACAGTGTTATCAGACGATGGGTGAGTTGCTTCACATCTGGAGAGACGAGGGTTAACACGTTGATGACCAGCCTATTTTTGCTTGTCCGCCGTGTGGGACCACGCACATTTTCTTGTCAAAAAATGCGTCCTGCCATCAGGACGCATGGTCCCAGAAAACATTTTTTTTGCCGAGTTTTTTTTTTGGAATTTTTATCAGTAATTACGAAATCATAATCTTCTGGAACGTTCTCAACAGTTCCAGAGGGTATTCATTGAAAAAAAATCTGCATCCTGGCATCAGGACGCATTGTCGCCAACGTGTTAAAGACAAGGTGCAATCAGGTCGACCCATCACTGCCATCACTGGCGAGAGCATCAAGAAAGTGTTTGAACGATAGGTGTATCATCACTTGGGTGCTATGCAAATTGATGTTTCGGACCTGGCGCTGTCCGACTACAACCTCTTTGGACGCATGAATGAAGACCACAGAGGACATCACTTTCAGAATGATGAGGATGTGAAGAATGCAGTTTGAAGGTGACTTTGTCACCTGGGCAAGAGCTTCTATCAGGATGGAATTCATGCTTTTGTAAAACGTTCTGAAAAGTGCATTACCCGTAATGGTGAATATGTTGAAAAATAGGTTGTTCATTGCAAAACCCTGATGGACATTACTTGTTAATCTCATGTAATTATCTTCAATACAGAGTGAGAAAAAAATAAACATGCGTTACTTTCCGAGCGACCCTCGTATGTGCATGAAGGTCAGGCAGACATTTTATTTCGATATCTAATTTTTGCATGGTACATCAAAAAAAAATTCCCCAACAGGCAAATGGAACAAGGATTTGAATTCCTATATCTCTTTTGGCTTCTTTCATAGATTATGATCATGCTACAAACCCCCACCCCCCCAAATTCCTGCTGATGCAAAGGGAAATGCATTAGGTATGACAGTAAAATGAAGTGAACTACAGGAGTAACTGGAAGTAATATATCAACCCTTTCCACTCAGTTTTTTCCACAATGCTACAACTGATGGCAAGCCCAGCTTGACAAATAAGTGGAAGGGGTTAATCTGCCTGAGTCATATGGAAATTCCTTTTATTAGGTTCCTCAGTGACATGCTTGCATAAAAGTAAAGTACAATATATGAAATTCACATGCAACAGTTTACCCCTCTGCTGAGGTAGGTCAAATACAATATAAAATGCTTAAGAGTGAGATCATTCTTTCCTCATTTTCCTTAATGTGATTCTTTTTCATTCCTCTTCAGGGAACCAAAAGCAACACTTTTCTAGCAAGTGCATGAGCAAGAAAAGGGTGCTGTCCTCTGAAGACAAAGTTAGGGTCTTCAGACAAGCAAGAGCATTGTTCGTCACTGATGTGATAACAATGTTTTTCTTTGGACATGCTAAGGAATCTTGAAGAAGGGAGTTTTTTACATTGCTCTGGATACATTCCTTCCCACCCTCAATGGTCCCAGTGAAAGGAAGACTCCTTAGATTTCATCCTAAAGGATGGAAATGATGGTGGTCAATTTTTCTTGCTCCCAGGAGTGCACTGTTGTCATATCTTGAATCCCAAAAGTAGGTTTTGGGAGTGATTGTTCCCCAAAGCTAATCTGAATCTGACCCTTCCGACTACTTGCTTTTCCATTCAGTTCTCCTTGTTTCTAAAGCATAAAGCACACTGGAAAAGGTGGAATTTTGTTTCTTAATTCTTGAAGGCTTCTTTCCCAGATTATGATCAGACCGATGAATAAGGAATTTTGGTTTCCTGCACACAATCTATCCATAAAGAAGTAGGATTAGAAAAGGAGGATAGTTTACATTGTGGCCTCATCATTTTACTGCAAAAAAAAACAGAATGTTAACTCCATCCAATGCTGCAGGTCAAGTCACTGACATTGTTTCCAACACACTTCTCCTAACATCCTCAGATAGCTTGCATAGTGTCTAGGCTTTTTGAAATGAACTCTCCAAGTGTCTTTAATGCTAAATCATGCATTACTCTGTTTCCCCTGCTTGGGGCAATGGTCATGAATGGTCATGAATTGATTGAAAATGCCTATATATTCCTGATAACTGAATGGCTTATTGCATCAAGGGCATTAGATTTCCTAGGATAAAGAACTGCTGCATCTCACCGTCACATCATTGTAAAATGAGATGAGAAGACCTCCATCGGTGACGCGGACAACACACCCATGAACCGACTTTCCGATGAAGCAGGTGTCATACTTATCCAGTACTGGGAGTGTTGACTCCAGGAGTTGCTTTTTGTTGGTTAGATGCAACTTGCCCCTGCTTGGATCACACTTCAATACCTATAAGAACAAGCCATCATGCTATCTACAAAGATCTATCAACCTGCAGGTGAAGTGACTTCAGATATTTGCTGCAATGCAATGCATAAACAAGAAATATAATTGATAAGATTTTCATCAGCAGATACATATATCTATATATGTCTGCTGACATAAATAGGATCAATTGGAAGTTCTTCCAACCTTGGCAAAAGAAGTGGAAAAAAACAAAAACAAACAAGGCCATCATGAGGGAAAGCAATAAACTTTGACTCCTGCTCTCAGTTCCTTACTCCTTCATTTTTTTATGTATTATCCAGTACCTGCCATTTTGTTTCTTGTTTGCTCTCATGACTGATATAGGGATATGCTCCCTATGAGTTTTGGTCCTGTTCCCAACTGGTTTTCACTCTTGCCTGATCCCTTAGTGTGGGAGGAAATGGAAACTCTCAATCATGCTGCCCTTCCCCAGCTTTTTTCAACCTCTCAAGGTAGCATAATTTTTCAAATAAGGTCCAGTAACTTCAGGTTTCACTACCTTCTCAGAAACCCATCTGGAAAGGGAAATCCTTTCTTTATCCTTCAACAAAAGTTATTAGTGGTGAAAAAGATATGACTGTGATGTCAACCGAAGGGACAACTTTGGTCCCTTTCTAGAAGTCTCTTCTCAGAGAGTTTCCTACCTCACAAGGAGCTTTCCATGAACTTCTGTTAACTGGCAGATAACTGGATAGTTTTGGTATGTTAATAGTTAATAAATTAATTTGAAATTGGGGCTAAAGTGAACAAATTTGATTGTTTTATTTTCCCACTTCCTGCACTAGGAGCTTGCACCACATCTCAGATGTCACTGCTCATTACATAGCAGCCTGATGTACTTTGAGCCTTGATGTCCATTGACCTAAGACCTAGAATTATCACATTGAAATGGCCTCTGCCCACTCATTTGCCAGATTAATTCTGATTGTTGAGTTCAAATCATATTTCCAGCTATCCATAAATTCTCCTTTTTTTTCTTACTTCACAATAGCAGACAAATATTTAAAATGTTGCACAACACAAATTAATCTATTGTGGACATTATTTTTGACACAGACTCTTAGTATGTGCCAACAAAAAACCTCATGCTTACTCTATTAGTCCTGAATTAAGAATAGATTCATGCTGATGATGGCACAATTATTTTTAATCACTTTTGGCTCTTCGGCACAAAAAGAACAGACAAAAGAGTCAAGAAACCTGTACTATCTATAATAATTAGAGAATTCAATCATTGGAAAAATCTCCAAACTCCTTAGTTTCCTTTTGTTTTGCAAAATAAATGATGCAAACAAAAAATAAAATCAGAAAATACTGGCCTGGTTAACTTGACTTCCACAGCTAAATCCAACTATCCAAGTGCAATTGAGAACAGGTAACTAACCCGACACTTGAGTTGCTTCCCTGGTTGAAACAAGGCCTGTTGTGCATGCTTTGGAGGAGGACCATCCAGCAAATGATGATTTTGGATGAAGCCAGCAACTTTAGGAGCCAACTGAACATGTACTCCACCATGTGTTACAGAGGACACTGTGCATTTGTACAACCTCCCAACTGTCACATCATTGTAGGTTAGAACTTGGAGCTTCAGCATAGATCTATCAGCACAAACAAAAGCAGCCTACAGGTCCACATAGGTCTATAAGCAGGAGGTCTGCATGAAAATACTTCTAGCAAATATTTAAAAAAATACAACACATCAGAAACATACTTAACTTTCTTACATATTATACATGTTAGTAATTAGGGCTGCCACAAAATATCAATGTCTCAATCACATCAACTTGGCAACAAACATTTCATATGAACAGGTCAAGGGGATAATTTTGACCTAAGCTTGTTAATGAAATAAAATAACATAGAAATGAAACTTTAAAGCATCCTGAGTTGATTTTTTAAATTAAAAATTGTAGAGATGTTTTGATGGGTATTTTTCTGTCTGATATAATTTCAAGGCTTTTCCATCAGGGATTTCTTATCTAGTAATATTTTGCCAAAGTGACCATCAAAATGCATTGACACATCACGAAGCACCAGAACCAAAATGTAAAGATACATACCTAAGTGATAATGGTATCCCACAAAGCTCATGAAGTGAGAGCATGATAAAGAAAAAAAAAGTATGAGGGAAGGAAAGCAGCTCTCCAGGCAGACCTGAAGATTTTTATATTTATTTTTTTACTCCCGTATCCTCCTACACTGGCCTCCAGCCTCTGAGACACCCCCACCCCCGCCTGTCATGAGACTGCAGTGTGGTGCAGCATGGTCTGCAGAGCATTAGGCTGTTACACTGGGCCTGATGACACCAAGACACCTTCCCATGTTTCATATACTTTCAAAACAGCTTATCCCAACTTAATGGGGTCGCCACTCGAGCAGGCCTAAGAGCATCTTCCAGTGTTCGCGATCCTGGGGAACGGACTCGAGCTCGGCAGATTGTATAACGAGCCTCTTGCAAACCAAAGATTCGTGATGTAGTCCGCCAACCTCGCACGAGGCCAATCGACGGGTCGCTTGCCGATCATTTTAAATCTGTTTTTGGGAGGCATGCGGGAAGCTTTTCAGAACCATCGGGCCTGGGATCTCCCGATCCAAATTCATAGCACCGATACTTGGGGGTTCTCAAGGATGGCGGTGTACAGCAGCTAATATCCGCGAACTGATCCTTTCGGTCGTTACCCAAAATTCATGACCAGAAGTGAGGGCAGGGAGTTATACGCTCTTAAGAGCGTTTACCTTCCCACCCTCCTTACCTAAAGTAAATCGAAAGTTTTGCCCTCTTAAAAATTTCAGACCTGGCAACCACAGTCCTCAAAAGATTCTACAAAACCGCGGACGTCCTTTGAGATGCGGCTGTCGATCTCGTCTCCGTATCGCACGTCACTCCAAAACCAGAGCTCGAGGTGCTCCAATATCTCCGCCTGTTCCAGTAGGACCCCAGGCACACTGTATAGGGCTTCTCGTGAGGATCATAATCTGCGTTTCGGGAACTCGCAATACATTTCAAGTTAAACCGGTCGAGCACGCTCTGAAAGGCTCATGTCGAGATAGGGCCAAAATGACAGAATAATCGGAAAATTGAAGTATCTTCACTTCGATACCAACGAAGCTGACCCCTTCGAGGCCCAGCCTACGCTTACAGATATTTTCCTTGTACATGAGGAAGAGAGGATGCAACCCTGACGAAGTCCCACACGTAGTGGGAACGAGTCCACGGCTCATCCCGTTCATTCCCACGCAGTTCCAACAATCACGGCATAAGAAATTAATTGCCCGTGATAATCGTTAACCTCGTACTCCTGCAGCACTTCCCACGACTTCCCTCGAAGTACACGGTCGTATGCCTTTTCGGGATCCACAAAGCACAAGTAAATCTCTTTGTCATATTTCCAATGTCTCTCGAGAATCCGGTGAAAAGTGAAGTGCTGGTGCGCCCTTCGCGAAATCCGCACCGCTCTTCTTGGATGGCAAATCCAAAAACTGTACGAGCTCTCTTTTTCGAGCACCTAGGTATAGAACTTATCAGGTATGCCGAGGAGAGTGATTCCACGGTAGTTGGTGCACTCCCTCGAGTCCCACATCTTCAAGAGGTGAACCCATCACACCGATCTGCCAATCCATCGATCCCGTTCCCGATTCCCTATACATACCCTATAACAGTGGTTCTCAACCGGTGGTCGTGGAAGTGCTGGGGGTGGGCAGTGACAAGTATCCGTAAATAAATAAATAAATAAAAACAGTTAGACGAACAACAATTATATAGCTTTTACGTCTGAAGTGGGCCTCGGATCACTTTGCAGTTGTTGAGGAGGGCCGCGGGATCAAAATGGTAGAGAACCACTACCCCAGTGGTGCTCAACCCGTGGCCCGCGAGGCCATAACCCACAATAAATACCCTTAGGTTTCCTTAAAATAGTCTCCTACAATACCGGCCCGCGATGACTGTGATAGTGAGTTATGTGGCCCCCTAGCCGAAAAGGTTGGCCACCACTGCACTACCCACGACCACGAGACTCATCGATCCCAATGGCTTTTAGAGTTTCTACCCAGATTTCGTCCACGTCAGGAGACTTCGCGTTCTTCGAGCTAGCCATCACTTGAACTTTCTACACGGTGAGACTATTCTCCACACAGACAGGCTACGAGCGCGACCTGGAGAATATGTTGCCTGCGTTGCCGGAGCCTTGGAACGGTCTGGAAGAACACCTTGTTAGCAGTGCGGTAGTAGAATTACTTTTCTTCGCAGAATTTCTTCCATGCCTCCAGTTTCGCTTCGGCCACGGCTCGGACAACAGTTTTTCGCGCCTCTCTGTAACACGTCCGCGAAGGGTCCGACCCACCGGACATTCACGTCCTATAGGCTGCCTACTTGGCAACAGCCAGCCATACCTCTGGTGTCCACCACGGAATCCGCTCCGTGTTACTGCGTGCCACTCCGATTCGCTTTCCGCCGAAAACTTTCACTGCAGCAGCCGAACCGCCAGATGGAACCAGATTCCATTCGGTCTCTATATCAGATAACTGGTGAGGCCGTTGGGAATATTTTTCGATTTTTCATTTTTCCTTCTCCCCAATACTCATTGGTTATCAATAATAACATATTTAGCCAGTTCATCATCGATGGTTCAGGTTGATCCATTCATACTTTCAAAACTGCCATAGTGACAGTCTCTTCAGTAATACGCTTTACTATCTTACGAGTATATATTGGCAATATACTGTATAAAGTTTTCTCTCTAAAGGTTGATATCTCCTTTCCTTACCTGATAACCTTTCTCCTAGTTCTTTTAAGGCTCCTTTTACTCTCCCAAAAATTGTTTTAAAAGAAGTGGTATGGGTTACCCAAACAGAAACCAGTAAAAATTGTGGGAAGTACTTTTTTTTTCAAGTGAAATCCATTGCCGATATGCTAAAAAAAAAATAAACTACTCTCACAGCACAGCTTCACCATCCAAGAGTACAATCAGGAAGCAGATTGAGAATTTCAGCAAAATTGGCTCGGTGCAAAACCTGCTAAATGTAGTAAAGGCACAACCAAAGGTCTCAGCTAAAAGTCTCCAATTAGTCATTATTTTTTACCAAGAAGGTTAACCTGCTCTAGCAGGTTTTGCTTAGTACGATTGCATTTCTCTATCAGCTTCTAAATTGTGCTCCATGAAGGTGCATAGGTAGTGGTCATTTTTTGTAACTTTTTGGCACATCAGCAAAGGACTTAAAAAAAGAAACCATCCTAAATTTTCACTCAATCAAGTGATATTTCAATTAGGTACCCCAAGACAATCTTTGGAAAACAATTTTTCAAAAATCTGATGTAAACATAAAACAAATATGATGGTCACTAATTGAGCATTTAACCACATACTAGAATGACTTATATGAGGCTATAAAAAATATGGTAAGCTGTCTGTAAGTGTCCCCTTCTGAACACCTGTACATGCTAAAAGCCAAATCTCACTTGCGGAAGGAGACAAGGAAGAGATCGTCAAATAAGTTGAAGCCGAAGATGCGTCCTGGATGTTCTGATCCCAAAGGAAACTTCTGCTTGACGTTGAAGTCTGCAGGATCATTTTTCTCAACCAGTTCACGGACTGGCACAAAGCCGTACAAATGAGGCTGAAGCTTCACCAGCACTCTTCCTGGGGCATACCCAATCACTTTACAGCGGTCAAAAACCTTCCCAATGAGGTCATGTTTATCAAGATCCTTTCTCTTGGTTTTGAAACAAAAATGTTTCACAATTGAGTTCTGAATGGTGAAGAAAGGTATCGATGTCCCAGGACAGACAAACAACAATCGGCACATCACTTCTTCACCTGGATTGAACGAATCTGGATCTTGTCCCACCTGTTTCAGGTGCTCCCTCATGACATAACCCTTGATTTTATTGGCTACCTGCAACTCAAGGCCACCAGGCAACACCTGCAAGAGATTGTTAAGTGTAAATGTCTCATGGCAAATAGAAAAATCTTTGCATGATGGATGAATGAAATTGGGAAAAAGATATCAGTTACAGAGCGTGCCTGATTTTCCATATAATATGAATCCCATTACGATTGATGCATTGGATAGAAGATGATGGATTGCAAAACACTTTTATTGAAAAACATTATTTTAATTTAAGCAGGATTTCTTTTTTAAGGTGAGTTACTTTCTTACAAATGCTCCTACCTGAACTATATACTGTTATGCTTATTAGCAGAACAATTTAAAAATTATCTGGCAATCAAGATGGAATTGTGTTTGTTTTGCACCAATTTTCCAGTTGTGCTAGTTGATAAAGTGTAGATGAAATGACAGTCAGGTTTTAAATGTAAGCAACTCAAAAGGTACATCAAAGGACATCCATGATGTCTGGAGTGAATCAACCTCACCTATGAGTTCACCATATCAGTGGCAAAAACAAATTCAGTTAGAGGCAACTAACTGTTGCTGATCTTCCAAGATTTGGATTCACCCAAGACATCATCCTGCCTTCTGAAGAACTAAGGGCAGGCATGCCCCAAGTGGATGTTCACTGAGGCAGTCAGTGTGTGACATACAGCCCATGGGCTACACTTTGGGCACCCATGACTTAGAATATCCAGACTGAGCAGGCAATTTTGAGGTTGATATCTTCCATTGAGGGTGATCTGCCAGTTCTATATGATTTATTTGCATTGCTTGATCTACATTCCAACTAGAAAGATTAGGGGTTCTTGGAATCATTCTTCCACATCTTTGAAATTCAGCAATAGTTAGTAGTCTCCAACTACATCAATTCCACTGAGCAGATTCTTCTTGATTGAAATGTAAATTGAAATACACAATTTCAGAAAATATATGCAATAGCATAGTGTATTTATTTGATTCTAAGACATATATTTTAATTTTTTTTTCAATGCTTATATTTCAAAGGTGAGGGTAATGTCACTTGATCTGCACATCCAATAACTTTCAGTCAACAGTATATTTTGCAGTTGATTCTAAGGTGACCCATGACATTGAGAAAAAAGAAGAAAAATAATTGTCTTAGAATAGAAAAATGCAGTGTATATTTCAGACCTTGAAGTAATTTATTGATTATTGATCATTCTACAAAAAATTACTAGTTATCATCACTTCTTTCCCAAGTATTGCTAAATGGATACTATTCAGCATGGTCAGCATAGTGTCTGTCTTTGCAATCTTAATACCACTGCAACAGTGATGCAGAGCATAAACATTTTCATATCAGTCAGCCTCAAGGTTTTTGCTCTGATCTGATCAACCTTTTCTATCAATTACCTCCATTCTACTGCGACAAAATTGATGCACACTTTTGCAGCATTCATTAAGCACACATTCAGTCTCACACTCAAGCCCCCCCCCCCCCCCTCAATGAGAGATGAGAGAACATTTCCAATATTATGTTTTGGGAAGGATACTATGAAGTTTCAATAATAGCAAGTGACTTACATTAATATCCATTCTTAAGGCATCTGTGGCATTTTTGTGTGCCCTGATCATTGCTAGATGTACAAAGGCATACCTGAGTTACTTTAGCAGAGAAGACTGTTCCAGGAGTGACTTGATCCAGAGAGATTTTCTTATTGGGTTCAAGTTGAGCCTTTTTTATATCAATTGGGTTACATGACAGAGAGACAATATTCTCTGACACCTCTTCCACAATGCATGGCACTTGTTCACCAACATCTGCAGATACAGATCATGTCATGATTGCCTTGTAAAATCATTCACCTGGTCCCAGACATTCCAATTACCATCCTGATCAGTAATAAAACTCCATGATAAATGATGATCCATGGTCTGCCTTGTAATGGTACCACAAAGTAACCTTAGAAGTACATCAAGGAACATACTGTACAAAAGGGGCAAAAATGAAAAAAGATCAAAGCCTCATTATTAGCAATTGAACACACAGGATCTCATGTCATGGTATTTGGAAGAAACTAAGGTGCTTTTAAATTAGCATATCCTGGGTACATGAGCTTTTTGGGCACTCTTTGGTGATGAATTTCTTGTGCAAAAGATAGGATATGCAGTAGGCATTTAGTAATTACAGCACCCATAGGGAGAGGGGGTGCTTCATTAACTCAGGCACAAGACCAGAATAGGGCTGTGGGCAAGAACATTCCACCACACCCATAGAAAGCAATTGGGGCAGCTCATAAGTAAGTGATGGGTGGGATATATAGGATATGCAAGGTTGTTAGGCTGTAAGCAGAAGAGCCTGCCACCATCTTGGTATGACAATGAAGCCCAAACCACTCAGTCACCAAACCTTAAAGCTTTCAACTTTTCCATCCCATTACAGATGAATGAGTAGAATGCAAAATGATAGCAAAGTAGAAAAGTATCATTTCATAAGGTGAAAGGCACTGGTGTAGTCAATAGATGTTCTTTCTTGTGACATATTGGACTTGCAGACTGCTGTAATATGGCTGTTGTCATCATAACCACCCCAAGGGCAAATGTATAGGGAAATGATGGCTCATGTGATTATGAGTCTAAATAAAAGTCACCACAAAGAAAAGCATGGGCAGAGAAGTGCATAAGAATACGAAAAAATTCCTGGATTACCTAATTTTCTCAAATAATTGCATTTCCTCAAGTTCCTCATTCATAGGAAGTGAATATTTGAAACACTTAGTGCGCATGCTACATCACTCTTATAATACACCTGATACCCTTCTTCCCCATCATATATTATATACATTAGATTGGCTAATATACTCACTGAGTCCAGTGGTTCTGGCATTGAGCAAAGCCCTGGCATCATCATGCTTGAGAAATGCTCTGGCATTCATAATGCCCAAATCCATGACAAACCCATGGTCCTCTTTGCTTTTCACACTGGCCATGAGGAACTAGAATGAAAAACCATGTAGTTATAGAGCACCTCAATGATCGTTAACCATCAGCACATAATCCTAGAGGTACATATCAAGCAGATCTAACATTTGGTCAGACCAAATGTTACATCAGAGACAAGGTAATTTCATTGACTAAATGAAATTTAAAATGTTGTATGGTGAAGTTAACAACTATGAAAATGTATAAAAAATTCCAAGGCAAGTATGAAATAATATAATGATGAAGGTTAAAATTGCCTAATTCCAGGGAGATGGAATTCTTTGCCACTGGTGAAAAGTAACAATATATTCAGGCATTTTCATCACTGAATGATTAAACTCCCAGCAGGTTGTGGTTAGTTCACCACAGATTAGGAGCTTGAAAACTCTTGCTAGGGAAATAGGAAATGTTTTGTAAGATAGGTCTGGGAGGTCATATGAAGAAAATGATAAACTTTCAGTAAAAAAAAAACTCATTGGTAGTTACTGAGCTAAAAGTAAACTAAAAGGATTGGCTATTATATCAGGTGAGGCAAAAAAAAACATGTAGCTCTTTGAAAGTTTGTGGTGTCTCTGAAACAGCAGCTTGTACAAGGTTTTTTTTTTTTAAACCATACATCTCTGCATCTTTTGTACATAATACAATTTTTGCCCATTTATCTCTTGTTGAAGAACAAGGGTGATTTTGCAAAAGTAACTGGAATTTTATTTTTGTGCTAGCACCTGGACACTCACAGTAGGACTTGCCCCACTGATTAGAAATCACAATTCTTTTCAAAGGTTTTTTCTTCTGCACTTCCAAATCTGCTGAGCAGATCTGTGACTTGTCCTGTGACAGTCTGGCAATTTACAGATGTGAATTTCACCCCAAGGATTATTATCTTTATAAACAATGACTTATTCCATATCAATGCTGTTTCCTCCTATTCTGGCTAGCCTTGGTCTTTGGCTCCTCCCCTTCATCTTAGATGAACTGATTTCTTGCAGCTAGTGAACCAGCCTCTTGATGATAGGCCTACATTTCTTTCATCCCTTGCCAGAAAATTCTTGCACCATTCCATCCTTTCGCAAAGAGCAGCATTTTCATGGGCAGATGGAGGAGCTCTGACCTGAGAAGGGTGCATTACATGTTGGTACATACCAACCACTCTCTTGCCTATATGTTTCCTCATGCAAGAATAAAATTCAAGTTGCCTTCACATTTTTGCTCTTGTGCTAAAATTGCCTGGAGAAAAGTGAACAAGAATTTTAGGATGATTCAAGGATATGTAGAAGTCAATGCAAAAAAAGAACTTTGCCATTCTGCCTTCCATCTCAAGAACTCCAAAGAATCTAAAAGAGCAGTGTATTTTTTAGCCTCACCTAGTATAAGACAGTCAAAAGTTAGAATATAACTACAGTTGAGTAAATATGACTAAAACTAAGTTTAAACTTGCCAAATTTACAAATGGCTGAGACTCACCATTCCTGGTTTCAAGGTTGCCAGTGAGATGTGACCCTGGATCTCAGAGGGATCAAGGGATAGAGTGAAGGAATGAGCATCAGCACTTTCTTTGATTTGTGCAACAATACATTCCCCAGGATGAAACATATCTCCCAATTCTTTCAGTTCCTATGAAAGAATGACAACAAATTTTCAATTCCTTCAAGTTATCAATTCACATGAGACAAGGTGGTCTTCTCATCATAAATTGCAAGTTTATGGGATAAGTTCATCAAAAATTCCTGGTAGGGAATGCCTGCATGTCTCCAATCAGACAGTGACAAGGCTTGCAGTTCTGAAATGAACATTATTTGGGCATGATAGGAAATTTTGCTGTCAAATACACAAATTCATCTTAAGATAGCAAACAATAGTTCATACACACCACATTGGGCAATTTCCCACAGAATGAAAATTTCTGGATAAACTCCAATGCTTCCAGATCCAATATCAGTTTCCATCAGGAATTGCAGATAATGTATTCCCTTATTGTTGGAAGTTGAGGCATGAAAGCTAGCCAAAATGTAGGCTCAGTGAAAATAAAAAAAAGAGGAGGGTACAATATATCCAGGAATTGAATGATGTGAATGATGAATGAGAGGATAAGAAATTTTAGAATACAAATGTAAATCATGTATTCAAATAAATCCAGGGTGTAACAGGTAAGATGATGCAGTTTTTTCTTTCCAACTTTCTGACACAAATTTTCCTACTAATCAGCTTGTTTACCTGGTCATACCTGTGACAAAAGGTGTTCAAAATTATCCTCATTACCATCCATACAGAGTCAATGAAAATCTGGAGGAATCAACTTTCATAAGGCCTTTGACAGTCAAATTATCAACTGGATGCAAACCAAATATCTCAACTGATAGAGCAAAAATTACCTGTATAATTAACATATTTCCCTCTTTGTTTTTATATCTGTTAGGTAATTTTGCCCATATGCAAAAGTCATATACTTCAACCATGTACATAATCACATATACAGGAGCCCATCCCTCAAACCAGATAAATCTTGTAAATAGAATATGTATGTTGTCCAGATATGTTTAAGGTATGAATAACACATACATGGATTTTAAACTTTAGGCATATACTGTCACAAATGCTCTTTCCATATGGCTAGACTCCACAATTTATCAAATCATCTCAGCTGTTATACCCTGAATGTACTATAATAAAAATTTAAATATAAAAAAGCAGAAAAAGTCACACAACATTAAACCTTTACATGCTTGGTTATTAGAGGAAGGTCTTCTCTCAGAGACGAGAGGAACTAGGGAGACAGTTTCAAACAAAGCCAGCAATTACTACCACTTTTGTCACTCCTCACTCCAATACATGCACAGCCATTCCTTCTGACCATAACATCTACTTTGGCTTAATATGACACTTTCAAATTAAACTCTTATTACAGGATTATACATACAGGATTGAATGGTGCAATGGTACCAATTGTGGAACTTGCATTGTCTGAGTTTCTATTTCTTGTAAGGATTAACTCATAGTAAATGAAGTTTAGGATGAAGGATTTTCCCTTTTCCCAGAAATTTACATTTGGAAGATTGATCATGATCAGGTTTCTTGGTTCCAGGAAAAAGTACTTCATAACTCTCCATGTTAGGGTGTCCAATGAAATAATGAAAGCAGTGCTACAGGAGTAGAGACCCATGCATACCAATGAGAAACAGCACATATCTGTTCTACTATTACCATGCAGTACTGTAGAACTGGCCCTCCCACATCCATTAGTGGTAGGTGACAGACTCAATTAGCATACATGTGATTTTTATGACAGACATGAAAGTCTGTTTCCTGCCATGAAATGAGTAAACCACATGACAAAACATGTAATCAATCCATGGCTGAATTATCAAGGCATTTTTATCCTTTTATCCTCAAACTTACAATCGATACTGACTGAATACCCTCCTAGGTAATTTTACAAGAAAAAAACCCACTCACATTAGTTGTATCAGTTGAACCACTTTGAACAGATGCCTCCAACATAGATCTATAGGCTGAAGAAATCTCAGTTGCAGGAACATTTCCATACTTCCCACCAGGCAAAGAGACTTTGAGTCCTAGTTCACGAACTGCATCAACACATCCCAAGACAACCATGCCCGGGAAATAAAGCTACAGCACACAAAATCAGAATCTAATGAGAACCAGAACTTGTGTAGGATATGGATAATCTATACTCAAATGCATGAACAACTAGAAAACATGACTTATCTGTTGGTCCCCTTTTAATCCTCTGGTACATATACAGGGTGTATGATTTATACCTCCCTACTTTTAATTTCTTATAACTTTTCTACCTATAATCAGAATTGCATGAAACTTATCACATATTGTAGAGAAATTAATCAGGATTAATGTCCATTTTCTTAAACATCCACATATGTAACAGCATATACTGCACACTTTTGCAATGAAATCTTGACATTGTTTACTGCAACACATAAAAAGTCCAGAGGGACATGGTTCAGCACCTCACAGGAGGTGGTGGTGCCCCAACTTGCATTAAGTGCAATTTGTTAATGTTGTTCTATTGAGAAATTATGGGCCGACACAAAATCCGATAGCATATGGAGATATCTTTCTTCATTCAACAGAACCCCAGACCTCATATCTGGATGCAATATGATCTCATTCTTGATTCGTCAGTCTATGCACCATGGTTAACCTGCAATCAAGGTACTATTAACCCACAAAAAAACCTCATTCAATTCTCTAAAACATATGATGATTTTGATGTAATTCTGGTTATAAATAAAAAAGTTGTAGCAGATTAAAAACAGGGAGTTATAAATCATGCATCCTGTAGATAAATTATGCAACTCATACAAATGTGTCATGGTGACATACAATTTTACTTTAACTGATGTGAACACAAACTAATATTTGAAAAATGAATAAAGTACTAAAATAATATCAATATTTTCTGACAAAATCTCACTGGAATATTACCTTAGGACAACTTTCAGGGAGATATTGGCAAAAAGGTTCCCTCAAAGTCACTGAATTAAGAATTAATACAACAATAATTTCTTGGCTAGTGATAGATGGAGCACTTCACCTTCTTGGCATTGAACTCCACATCAGTGACTTGCTTTTTAGATTTTTTATGCACTGGCAATGTACCTCGAGAGCCATGTTCAACATTGCTGTCACTCCGCTTCCTTTTCTTACCCCAAAGATTTCCAATACCATCATCAGAGTTATCCTGCATTAAAAAAAATGAGAAGAAACACTGGATCACATGATACACAAAGGATCTATCAGCTTCCAATGCCAGAGAAATGCTCTAAAAAAGAAATACTAAATACTTAACAAGACTTAACAAGTTCAGTCATGGGGCCTGTCGTATTATCATATTCATGAATACCACTGTGGCATTATCCTCATTGGCTTTTCTGAGTCTTCTATAACCTGATGTCTGGCTAAGCCTTAGTATCAATATTGCTGGCCTAGTTTTATCCCTATGAAAAATGTAATTTTACTGGTCAGTGAGGTGGGATTCAATCCTGAATCCTCATTTAAACTATCATCATAAAAGAAGCTGATCAAATACCAATCCCTTGACCCTGGAGAAATTGACTAATTTGGATTTATATGGGTCACATAATTCTGTTGCCAATACTACTAAGGTCCTCTGTTATTGCTCATCCTCACTCTTAAGTATCTAAGATTCACTCTTTTTCAGAACTCAAGTTGGAAAGCTTGACCAAAATGCAAAAGACCACTTTTGAGGTATTTCCCTTACCAATACTAGGTCATCTCTCTCTCTGTCCTTTTGCAAATGCCTCTGCAGTTTGCTTCCAGGCTTGCCTGCTTGGGAGATGACTGAACCATTTTTAGATTTCCTGTGTTTAGGACCAGGCCTACCCCTCGGGAATCCCTCCTCTTCTTGTATGATAACCATGGTCCAATTGGAAAATGATGAATCTGAAGATGAAAAATAATCAGAATTTTTTGACAAAAGCTTACCCAATACATCCTCCTGTAATTCTTGACCCTGATATTAGACCAAACGTTATGCACTGACGATAGACATGGTTATAATACATTCACCAATTCATAAAAAGTTCTACCAATACTTAATTCAGGACAAAGCATGCCTAGGTCTTGGTTAGTCTAAGAACTTATCGTGGACAGGCTGAAACTGGTCATAATAGCTCCAGACTAGGTCTATCCTCAGAAAGATTAAGCTTGAATATAAACTAACAAACGCGTTTAAGCAAGTCATTATTAACCAGACCTGCACTTCGCTAGAACAAGACCAGACTGGCCTTCAGTAGAACCAACTCGTTCTACTAGCCATGCTCTCCTCACGCCTTCCTGTGCGCCACGCGGCCATGTTTGCACGTGTTGGTTGTCGGCTCCATCATGCCGGGGTCATTCCTTATCAAAACAACATATTCATATACTTGACCCCCTTCGATTTTTATTACATTTGTTGGACTCGTATGGTCTATAGAAAAACTAATCCACGTCAAATTTCAGTTCTCTTGGTCATGTACTATCTGAGGTGCAAGGATTTGAATGTTGCCAAAATTACCTATTTCGTGTCAGGTGGTCATCGCTCAAGCCTCCACAAATTTTGTTATATTTAAATTAGAGAGCTGAAAGTGGATTCATTTTCAAGTTCTTTTCATGTCCTTCCAAATTATACGTATTTCATGGAGTTTCGATGAAAACAAAGGTCATTAACCTTGGATTCGGAAAAAGGTCTCTTTTTTTTTAATTAGCATGATGTCCTCCCCAAGTAGCCATGGGTGATCCAAAAGTTTTCCATGGACAGTCCAGTTGTCCTGAGATGGTCCAGAGTCCAGAAGCGGTTGTCCTTTGGATGTACATAGGATGCCATCGCCATGGATCGATATCTTCTCATGCATTCTGAGCTTTATTCGAGCAGAATTTCCCTACATCGAACTCTCAATTATTTCCATCTTATCGAATGAAGGTTTTATGGAATGGCGTTACGAGGATCCGATCGTGGGGTTTTATTTTGCTCTTTTTTTCTTCTTCTAATCTCCCATCTTAGGTCGCAACCCAATCACTTCAATCGATATATAGATAGTGTGACATTATAATTGGACCAATGCATGATTTCATTTAGATTTCGACAATACGAACGAAACGATGTGTCAGTCCTTCTTTGGGCATCCATTGGACGTCCAGCAATGGAACCTTCAAGGACAACTTCTTATGGTCTTCCATTGGATGTCCTTGGATGGAATCTCCGCCCCGTTGAGGCCTTCCATCTGACCTGACATCTAGCAGTTTATTCAAGGAATATAAAGTTCCCATAATATACGCGAGGTCGCGCTCATCCCGCCGCTGTATGTCTCCCGATTCCCAAAATCTAACGAATTGTTCTGTGTAAGCTTTCATCCTCTACTCGATCATTTTCCACGTACAAGCCTAAAGAATGAAGTCATTCTAATTAATTAATTTGTTGAGAGACGTAACATAGCTCAAGGAGACTCCCGGCAATTCTTGCCCATTGCATGGTAAGAGTGTGGTTCCCCTGACAAGTATGTCAGTTCCTTCCCCTTACGATCCATGTCTCCCATAGTGATGGGAAAACAATGTCTTGCTTGAGAGATAAGGACGAGGAGTGGAGAATTTCGGTTCAATAATAGTTCACTTTCCATCCATGCACTCCTCTCCTAGTTCCTCTGAGGAACGTGGGAGGGCGAGATCGTCAATATGCAGAAAATGCTCATTTCCCGCGCACAGTGGTCCAGAGTGACTGAAAACCTGGCCGAAAATCGAAAAAAAAAAATTCTTCAAAATCGTTCAAATTCAGCCTATCTCATCCTGAGATGTCCTAAAGTGCATGGCAACATCTAAAAAGCAACACCGCGTCTCGCGACTCTTAGGAGTAGGGCCGTTCCAAAACAGATAAAAGTGGGAAGATTCACCCGCTCTAGGTTAACTGAAAATTTTTCCTTGATTTTCCCACAGGTTATTCATAGTTGCGAATGTACCTTGATCTCACATCAAACATCAATGGCTGATGGTCAGGCAGGTGAATATAGGTTTGTCCTAACCCTTAAGTTACTGTCCAGGAACGAAAATCTCCAAAATGGACGGTGAAGTTATTATTTTTCGTTTTCAACCCCGATTTTCTTAAAGACGGCCATGGATAGCCGTAACTAAAAACACATTTGCATACTCCCTAACATCCAATGTGGACATTTGACGCCCAGCCAGCTGCGAGATTCTGCGAGTAAACTCATAGTGACCGTTATTTGATCCCTCCCTAGGTCCTAGAAAGTTAACTCGCAGGGACATATTCACCCGATTGCGATTCGAAAGCCCGAAAGACATTTTCTCTGAAACGGGAGAATACGAAGGAATCGGCGTATGTCCTCCCAAGGCTTGATTTTCATAATCTAACCCTACCCCATGGATCTGAAGAGGCATTGCGTCGAGTACTTGGCGAATTGAGGAGAAAATTAGGCAGAGATGACAAACAGCGGGCCGAAATCCGAGCATATTCTTCAATCAGAATGAGTCATGGCTGGAGGAAGAATTCGAGTGCACGAGTTTCAACTAATGAATGCTGAGGCAGAAGACGACGATGAGGAAGAAAGAGGAGGAAAGGGAAGGCCCTCGATTCCATTTTAGCAATGTTCCTCGAGGACGAAGAGGTCAAAAACATGAGAACTACGACAGAAAGCGAGTGGAACTGAGCCCGCATACGCTGCACAGATGGCATTGCGGGCGAAAGGGAGAGTAGATGCTGCTGATATAATTAAAAAAAAGTGGCATGTTCATATTCTGCATCTTTGGCAGCTTCGGTAAGAGCTTCATATCATCTCCCTGCCACTGGTCTCCCTAAACCATACTCTCATAATGATGCATTGGCATTGCTTCTATCTTCTAAACTGTCCTAACATGGTTATCAATTGATTCGAGAAGGAGCCATTGAACGTGACACATATATTTATCCTGCGTATAATCACGTTCTGGAAGCCAAGAAACGCTGTCACCCTGCAGGATGTATTGCTGATCTAGCACATTCTTTATTAACTTTTGTTCTACGAAAGATACTGAAACGTGAGAAAATAAGTTCCAAAATGCAAGTGCTTCTTCTATTCTTTCCTTTTGTTTTTCAATTTTAGATACCGTCAATGAATGTGCACATCTGAAAACAGATGTTCTGGAAATGAACCTAGGCAAACAATGAATAAAATACCACTACTCACCCTGATCAGATAACTCTTGAAGAAGGTAATCCCCTCGAAACAACGCACAGTGGCCTCAAATATCGACCATCATTGCACCATTTTATCGTTTTTGATGAGACCTTTTCAAGGATGCTTAACACCACAAGGCTGAAACGTAAAGTTTAGAATATACGGTGATTACTTCGAAAACTCGAATTAAGTAAAGTGGAAATGCCTTGAAACTTCAGATATTGGCATAAACGTATTAGTATTGGACAATATTTTTTTATATTGCCGAACCAACCCTCCTAGATCGACCGAAAGGAAGTCAGGCATTTTCGGCCAGATTTTCAGTCACTCTGGACCACTGTGCTACGCCACGCCATGAATATTCACGAGCATGCAAATTTCGCTCCATTGATACCTGGGGGTTACTATCGCTGCACCCCTCAATGGTCATCCAAAAGCTTTCCCAAAGGGTATCTCCAATGGAACCAAAGAGACGGACATCCAATGGTCATGTCCAAGGATTTTCCTCGGACGAGACATTTAGTCATCCAGGGGATGTCCGAGGAGGATATACATTGGATGTCCAAGTGTCCATGAGGGTATGTCCAATGGATTTATTTTGGATCAAAATGGCTACTTGGGTCGATTTCTTCTCTGTCGATACACCAAATTTCAACTTGGGACTGCCATTGGATCGAAATTGTAAGAACAATAATGTGCCAGTAAGTGATCAAAAATCCTTTGAAAATGTACTGGAAAATTCTGAATGCATCCAGTTTGTGGAAATTTTTAGGAATATCCACCACTTTATTCGTCAGCAATATTAGGAGTATTCTAGAAAAATGATTTTAAAATTTAAGGAAATTCTAGCAAGTTATTGATATATCAGCAGGTTTCAGAAAAATTATAGAAAGTTCTATAAAGTTTTTTTTCAAGTATCTCTGGGTCTTACCAGAAACTTCTAGAAAACGCATCTACCTCATATTTATATTAGGGCTTTGTCTGCATTGTTTTACCAATTTGCGCCCTAGCTTCTCAGTTG